AAACAAAAAACACAGAAGACAAACTGAAAACCCCATTTTGAACATTATACTAATGACACAATTTATTTTGTCAAACTGTGGTAAAGTTTTTCAACACTATTTCTATTATTTAAGTCTTCACAAACAGTTAACAGTCCCAGAACTAGGAATGGGTCCAAGATTCCATTTTGAGTTGTAGGGACCTTAATTTCCACCTCACAAGGTGCTTGGTTATGTATGTCTGGGAAGTTATCTGTAACTGAGTCCTCTATGAACATGTAAGTGCACACACATTATCTATATGTCCACATACATATAGCTACTTCTATCTGGTGCACACATACTTACACTCTTGTACCTACCTATATACACACATTCCTATACACTTCCACATGTACCCATACACTCATTTTTATATTGTTGATAGTATTGTCAAATTATATGTCATATTCTCCATTTGAGCTGAATTCTGATTTAAATATTTTCAATGATGTTAGGTTACAAGAAATAACTTTTTAGAAATGTGATACAATTTTTATGAGTAAAATGATGCAATTTTATTGACATTACATACTGAGACGCAGGAGTGAAGGTAAATGTTTGTGCATTATTTCATACAATTGACCTTGATTTGGCAACTGTTGAAACTAGGCAATTACTATATGAGGCTTCATTATCCTACTCTATCTACTTTTCAAAGATACGCTTGATTTTTCCAGAAATAACAATAAACAAAATTGCAATGTATTAATAACATTTGTTACTGTTAAGTGCCGTTAAGTTGGTTCCAACTCATAGCCACCCTGTATAGGGTTTCCAAGGAGTAGCTGCTGGGTTTGAACTACTGACCTTGTGGTTCACAGTCCAGTGCAGATCCTATAGTGACACACCAGCAGTCCTTTAAAAACCTATTTCTTTAAAAAAAAATCAAAGGAAAATAGTCCTGGAGAACTACATTTCCACAGCATTCTGTCAGAAAAAGTTGTTGTTAGGTGCCATTGAGTCAGTACCAACTCATAGTGATTTTATGCACAGCAGAACGAAACACTGCCTGGTCCTGGGCCAACCTCACAATTGTTGCCACGCTGGAGTCTATCGATGCTGCCACTTGGCCAATCCATCTCATTGGGGGTCTTCTTCTTTTTCTCTGACCCTCCACATAATCAAACCTAAAATCTTGTAAGAGTACCACACCAAGAGCCATAGTCTTTGCAAACTCCCACAAAATGACTTTTTCCTAATGGATCTGGTTAAGAAACGGTGGAGAAAGATGCTGATAAATTATGATTATCTGGGAGTGATTGTCAAAAGAGCTATTTGTGACTTGTCAATTTTGCCATCCTGTTGTTGTTAGGCACCACTGAGTCGGTACCGACTCATAGCGACCCTATGCACACCAGAACAAAACACTGCCCAATCCTGGGCCAACCTTACTACCGTTTGCCATGCTTGAGTCCATCGATGCTGCCACTTGGCCAATCCATCTCATTGGGGATCTTCCTCTTTTTCTCTGACCCTCCACCTTAACAAACATGATATCCTTCTCTAGCGACTGGTCCCTCCTGACAATATGTGCAAAGTATGAGAGACGAAGCTTGGCAATCTTGGCCTCCAAGGAGCACTCTGGCAATATTTCTTCCAAAACGGATCTATTGGTTTTTTAGGCAGCCCATGGCACTTTCAGTAAGTATTCTCCTCAAACACACAACTCAAAAGCATCAATTCTTCTATGGTTCTGGTGGGTATAAAATGAGCCAACTCAGCAGCAGGGGAAATGGGAGATCTCACTATTATCAAAGAGCCAGGAATGAAACGTGTCATTTGGACCCCGAGATACCCGTGAATTGAACTTTGTCAACTCAGGGACAGAAAGCTGTGATACCAGAGTGGTAGCCATCAGCAAAACCAAGAGCCAGAGCAATGGGCTTCCCAGCCCAGGAGTAGCAAGTAAAGCTGAGTGGTGTGTCCTGTGGGCATTTATCAGCAACCTAAAAGATTTATAGCTCACCATACAGAGTGAGGAAGAGAAGCTGTCCTAACTAGAACAACTGTGCTCTGAGTATTTCCTACCCTAAATTATAACCTGTTAACATCTCTAATAAACCCCTTGAACTTTGAGTATGGTGTTTAGTTCTGTGTGGCGAATGCAATGAATTTCCAAACCCAGTTTAGTAGAAAGTACTGCTGATGAGAGGTATGATTAGTGTCCTATTTTTGCAGAATCCTATGATAAAAATCCTGTATTAAATGCAAAAATCAGTATTTGATATGTATAATTAACTACCAACTTCTGTCACTGCAATGAAACATAAAAACATCTCATCTAGAACTACCTGATGTGGCACTGTGGGCTAATGCGGTGGACTGCAGTCATTTGAACTGCAATGTAGGTGGTTCAACCTCACCAGTTGCTCCTTGGAAACCCTATACAGTGTCACTGAGTTGTATCCGATTTGACAGCACTTTACTACCACCACCACTTTTAAGGAGTCCTGATGTGGTGCTACAGGGTAAGCACTGGACCACAAGGTAGGTTTGAACTGCACTGAATGACAGATAGTTCAAATCTGCCAGATGCTCCTCAAAACCCTTTGTTGTTGTTGTTATGTGCCATGAAGTCAGTTCCGACTCAAACCTGTACAGGGTTTCCGAGGCTGTAAATATTTATGGGAGCAGAAAGCTTCATCTATCTCCCGTGGAACAGCTGGTAGTTTTGAACTGCTGACTGTGAGATTGGCAGCCCGATTTGTAACCACTACGCTATCAGAGGTCCTTTCGAAACCCTATAGAGGCCCAGTAAGTAAATAAGAATCAACTCGACAGCATTAATCAATCAACAACCACTTTTAAAGGGAGTTCTGATGGCCTAGCAGGTTACATGTTGGGCCATTAACAGTAAGATTATCAGTTTGAATCTACCAGCTCCAAAGGACTGTGATGCCTTAACATGCTGACACCTTTTCTGCAGCATTTTAATGGTTCTTATCCCTTTAAGGAGCTCATTTACCCACATGGGTTTAATTACTCACAAGCCACTCACTCCAATACCCCTACCTCCCTACAATGTGATGAGTAGTATTTAATTTTGCTCAGGTTACAGCTAACTCTGAACTAAGTGCAGTTAAGTTGGTAAGCAAAAAAAGTTGCTGTGATGGGAAAAAGAGGTACAAAAATAGTTACTTTTAATTTCTCTAACTAATTAGCATGTTGTAATCTAGTAAATCCAAGAAGCTGGGCTGTATGAAGAAAAACGTGGCATCAGGATTGGAGGAAGACTCATTAACAACCTGCGATATGCAGATGATACAAACTTGCTTGCTGAAAGTGAAGAGGACTTAAAATACTTAACTGATGAAGATCAAAAGCCACAGCCTTCGGTATGGAATGCATCTCAACGTAAAGAAAACAAAAATCCTCACCACTGGGGACCAATAAACAACATTCTTATCAACGGAGAAAAGACTGATACTGTCAAGGACTTCATTCTTCTTGGATCAACTATCAACAATCATGGAAGCAGCAGCCAAGAGATCAAACGAATTGCATTAGGCAAATCTGCTGTACAAGACCTTTTTAAAAGTGTTGAAGAGCAAAGATGTCAGCTTGAAGACTAAGGTGCTCCTGACTCAAACCATGGTATTTTCAATATCCTCATAAGCATGCGAAAGCTGGACAGTGAATAAATAAGGAAGACCACAGAAGAACTGATGCATCCGAGTTATGATGTTGGAGAATACTGAGTTTCATGGGCTGCCAAAAGAACAAATAAAACTGTGTTGGACGAAGTGAAGCCAGAGTGCTCCTTGGAGGCCTGAGTGGCCAAACTTCACCTCTCATACTTCAGACATATTGTCAGGAGGGACCAGTCACTGGAAAGGGCTAGCTGTTTGGTATGGTGGAGGGACAGATGGAAGACTCCCAGCGAGATGGACTGGCGAAGTGGCAGCATCAATGGGCTCAAGCATGGCAACAATTGTGAGGTTGGCCCAGGACAGGGCATGAGTTGGTACTAACTCGATGGCACCTAACAACAACAACAATCTAGAAAAAGGACTCTTGGTGTGGTACTGTTGGATAAGTACTGAACTGCTAACCACAGGTTTGGCAATTCAAACCCACCAGTCACTCATTGAAAACCCTTATACAGGGTCGCTCTGAATAAGAACAGACTTAACAGCACTGAACAATAATAAAAAAATCTGGAAAGAACTAAGGAATCAGATACAAAAAAAATCCAAAGTTTGGAAGCATGCCCTAGATAAAAAATTTACAGTACAGGGCTGTACCCAGTACCTATTATCAAGTCACTGAAGTTTCTTTTTTGTACCTTTATAACTTCTTATAAATATATTATTCAATACATAGTTCAGATAGTTCAAAGAGAAACTCTGGGGTCCACAGGAAGGAGAAGCACTGCTTCATAGTTTAAATCATTCAATACTGAATGACTTGTTAGGTGCTAGTTAAAGTGAGTCTTGGCAGAAACAGCGCACACAAAAAAATAATCTTCGCAACACATTAAAAAACAAGCAAAAGTTTTACTCAAACCTACTGTGGCCAAACATAATATAACAATCTAGAAAACTGAAAAGTTTAAGAAACTTTTGACCTGTACATGGATGGTTGAAACTCATTATGCTATGAACTCTAGACATATATGAAGAACTCCAAACATCGCAAGTCACAGGATATGTAGAGAAGAACCGTGTCTACAATCACAGGCAAATAAGTTTTAATAAATCAACCACAAACACAAGACAGTATTTTAAATATACAGTAGGAACATTTATTTTAACACTTCTAAAAGATATTTATCCATGCCTGATGATTTGATATAAAAATCAAACCCATCATACGTTCCCCATTAGTCTCTCTACATCAATGACAATCAGAAATTTGTACAACATGAATATTTGCTTCTGAAACAAAAAAGTTACAAATTAAGTGATAACAAAATACACAAATCAACTGGACCCTAAATGAATTTCTAATGAATTTTTTCTCTGTTCCCCCACCCCCCATCACCTAGAGCTTCTTTCTTCAGCCTCATTCTGATCCTTCTCCTTTCTTTGATTGGCCATGAACTTCTGTCAAAAGAAATTTGCAATACAAAATACTTATCAGAGGTTGTTTTGTGTGCAAATATATTTCACTGTAGTTACCATTTAAAACAGTCTGCTCCTACAAAATGAAGATCAGAAACACTGTGCTTCATATTAATATTCTTTCCTTTCATTCATTAGTCATTCAATATTTATTTACACTAGAATTACGTTTAGTCTGTGGATGCATCAGGGCAACAAGATAAATAAAATGAAGTCTGCCCTTTACCTCATGGAGTTTACATTCTAGTGGGGAGAGAGAAATAATAATGGAAAAAGTTTTGAGGCAAAGGCTTTCCTGAGAGATGGAATTTAAACTGAGACCTAAAAAGTGAGGAAGAACCACCCATATAAACAGGATTGTGATGCAGCAAAACAAATGTACAGAAGCAGCAATGGGCCTTTCATGACCAACTGAACCAGGAAAACATTTAATGAGAAAAAAAAGAATGGAGGTAAAAAAACAAACCCGTGAAGTCAGAAAACAGAAATCAGATTACGTAGGGCCTTAGAAATCCATGATGAGAAATCTGGATTCTAAGTGTAATAAGAACTACAGATGATTTAAAATAGAGAAATGAAAATTACAGAAGTTGAGAGAAAGCATAATGTTTAAGTGCCAGCGCCTACAATACAACTGAGCTGGGTTTGAATTGTAGCTTTTTAACTGCAACTACTATGTGATGCTGAGTTTAGATACTTAAACTCTTTAAGTCTTTCTGCATCTTTAAATCTGAAATGGTAACATTTAACTTATAAAGTTGACAAGTGATCAAATAAGTTCACAGCATATTCTTATTCAATAAATGTTAGATGTGTACCTATGCCACAAATTCAATAGAGAGAAGGGCTTGATTTAGGAGGTATTAGAACCAGTTTCACTGGGACTAAAAGATTCTCCAAAGTGGCATTTCCAAAAAAAGTGTAGCAAAAAAAGAGGGTTTTGCAACCAAATAAGCTTAGAGAACAGTTTAAACAAAACTAAGTAGGATTCTTTCTGCTGAGGTATTTTTAATATGCTAATTGTGTGTATGATTCTGTTAAGAGGGTAACAGTGTACCATATGGGACTAATGACCTGGCGAATCTACACTGGGAAATGGAATGGTAAAAGAAACATGGACTACTAGTTACTAACAAGGTGTATGTTTTTGTTAGTGCCACCAAGTCGGTTCCGACTCATAGCGACCCTGTATATGGTTTCCAAGGAGCAGCTGGTGAGCTTGAACTGCTGACCTTGCAGTCCAGCGCATGAACCCACAGCGCCATACAAGGACTCCTAAACAAGGTATATGACAGAGAAAAAAATGATGTGGGACTTAAGATTAACACACTTGACAAAACGTTCAAAAGTTCTCCTAAAGGGAAAGAATGTACAATTCAGGTAGACATTAAGTACTTCAATTTAACACAGTTTATAACAGCACCTGAGGATTTTATGAGAACAAAAAAATAATTACCTCTGTATTTTCCTTATGACGTGTACTCTTGCAGTGATTTACCATTGCCTTTTCACCTGAGCAGAAGACGGAACAAATTGGACAGAAGAATCCAGCCTTGGGGACAAGAAAGTCTAAATCTAGAGAAGAGAAAAAAAGGCAGGGTGGGGGTGAAATTAACATTAATCTATAAGTGTACTAATCAACTTACCTAAACATAAACATGGCAAACATACTATGCATGGTATAAACTTATACCATAAACTTATATAAGACTTAAGACTAGTAGTCAGAACCAACTCCACAGCACATCACCATCACTTACTACCATACACTGCCTATCTAGGGATCAAAAACAGTTAAGCCTTTCATCACACAACTTACAGTCTTTCGTTTTTTAAACATATCCCAGGAACCTCTAGAGAACACGACAGCATTCTCTTGGTAAAACCCCAAGTTGAACAAATACCCAGGGAGAATATTTAGATAACTAAGAACTGCTCAGTGGTCCTTCAAAATACCAAATCATTGGATAAAAACCTGATATTGAGTCTTTGGAACATACCTATTAGGATTAATGGTGTTACAATAAAACAGGGTGAAGAGACAGAATAATAGGCTAGCTCAGTAAATACTTTAAGTCCACTCAAAATAAGTCATGAACAGTTTGTTAGTTAAGCTTTTAAGCATATTCTCCTTAACAGGAATTTCCACTTAGAACTTTTCACCAATTTTTCACAAGAGCAGCAAATAAAGAACCAGAATTAAACATATTTCAGACTTATGGGAGCAAGAAAATGTCTTGCCAGGTAAAAACAGTTCTCTAAAGTTGTCTCAAAAAAATGCCATGGGTTAAACTGGCCAATTTCCACATTAAAATGAAAAATCATCTAAGCAAGTACTGGTAAAAATCACTGAACACTTACTGTGGTGCTGAATTTATATTTGATAAGAGGTAAGAAAAAAATGTACTTTATACTTTACCAGTAGGGGCATCAGATTCCTCTGAGTCCTCAAGTTTCATGCGTTTTCGCTCTGGTTCTGAGTCATCTAATTCAAATTCTTCATCTACTAAACGCATTAAGATTTTTTCAAGGAAAAAAAAATTACTCAAAATACATTTACAGACTTTATGAAGCTAATATTAGATAATTATTCCTGCCTTCAAAGGAAAATTTAACTAATCTAAGAAAACTCTTCTTGGTTAATCCAACTTGCCCACTTTTTGTACAATATCTTCCAAGATTCTTTGATGTGAAAAATAGATGAGGAAATCTGCTCATTTTTATTAAATGCATTTAGGGGCATAAGTTAACAGCAAATTTTATACACTAATTCAGAAAGAATTTAAAGGGTACTGCCAAACCTTGCACAACACAGATTTGAATTATGCAGGCCCACTTAGGCACAGATTTTTTACCACCACTGTTATGATAGTGACTCGGAGATGATTATCATCCCATGGTTTAAGTAGGTACTCACACCACTTGAGCTCACCGCTTAAGAAACAGGAAGTTCAAACTCGTGTTGTTAAAAGATCATTAATAACTTATATGTGAATTTGGTGCCCGTAACCCCCGTAATGTTTACATGTCAAGTGTAACTACTAATAAGAGTTAACTAGTAATTACTAGTATATGCAAAGTATTGGGGTAGGAGAGAGAGTGAATTTACGACACGAACAACAAAAAAAATGATGCCCTGTACTAAGGTCCTTCCAACTTAGAAAAACTGCAACTATGCTGAGTTGCTTATAATACCTTTGTTAGAACCACAAGTAAAATTACAAAGCTCTGACAGACTAAGACGACAAATATGGAAACTAATCCATACAATCCTGGTTAACCCTCAGTAGTTGAAATATTTTACTGGTGGATGTTGTTAGTTGCCAGTAAGTCAAGCCCAATTCATGGTGACCCCAAGTGCATAGAATGCCTCATCTTCTGAGGCACTTCTTAGTGGGTTCCAACCAACATTTCATGTAGCAGTTGGATGCTGTTTGCAGCACCCAGAACTTCCTTTACTTGTGTGATGTATGCTGATGACCAGGGGGGGGGAAGGCCAGGTTTGCAGGGTATACCCTTTGGTTGGTTGATGATGCATGGACGGGATGTTAACCATGGCAATGAAATAATAATATACGATAGGATGAATGTAAAGCACTATCATGTAAACTATCACATAATTTACAATAAAACATTAAAAAAAAATACAAATTGGGAGGCAGGAGATTCTTGATATGTTCTACTTAGTAGAAATGAAAGCAAGGACAACCAGTGAAGATGTAGAGAAGGACAAAAGGTGTTATGACTACACCTGTTTAGGAATTGAGGAAAGAAATCTCAAATAATGTTGTGGTGCAATAATTATGGCAGCCCAACTGAGATTAGAATCAATAATAAGTTTCTTAGAATGAATCATGGTTGGCTAATTGTTTAGAGAAAATAAAGATAAAACACCAAGAGTGAGAGAAGGGTGCTGCAAAGGTAGTAGTTAAAGGATACTCTTTATAGTATCTGTTTACTCACATTGATCCATATGTTTTTTGCTCTACTTCTCCATGTCAACATATCTGAGATATGAACTGTGTGCTTTTCTCCTGTACTTTAAAACATTTTGCTCGGAATCTGATAGACATTGCCAAGTATTTGTGGAAGCATGGAAACATTTTCTCTCTCAAGATATTTATTTCAACAAAGATTTCACCTACGTTGGTGTTATTGTTAGGTGCCATCGAATTAGGTTCGGACTTAAAGCAACCCTATAGAGGGTTTCCAAGGAGCAACTGGTGGGTTTGAAATGCTGACCTTGTGGTTAGCAGTCTAATGCTTATCCTACAGTGTCACACCAGTGCTAGTAAGACATTTTAATTCAATGATTTCTGTCTGATGCTGTAACACTGTCAAACTTTTTCTGAACCATTTCTACAAATCAATACAAACCCTATTCTTGATAATCTGTTACAATTACAAAAATAAGTATCTTTTTAAAAATCCAATATTTACAAGGCTGTCTTTTCCTCTCTACTCGAATTCATTCTTTATCTCCTTTTCTTTTTAGATGGTTGATCTTTGGAACTTCAATCAACACCTCATGTTGTGTGACTCTTCCCCATTCCATAAATCCTGCTGCTTTACCTTCACTAATTTTGAAGGCCTCTTCACCTTTTGTTGGTTCTGTTGCATCTGCTTTTTCTGATGGTGGTGTCTCCCCAATTCTAACTCTCTTGGTTGGTGTTTTAGCTTTAAAGAGAAAGTCTAATTTGTTGCTACAGTAATAATATTTAAATTGCTTTAAACTTTGAATAACAAGTAACTTCCAACAACATACTCTTACAAACTGATATCCCAATCTGGAAAGAAAACCCATTCTTGATATGAAATAAAAACAATTCTATTTAAAAATTCTCAACATCAGTCTAAACAGTTTTCTTTCTTTTTCCCAATTATCTTGTTCCAGGCACTTACAAACAATTTCCCCAATTTGTTCCATAAATCTGCTTGACCTTTCTACCATCTTTTTCTTAGTTCAAGTCTTTCAAAATCTTACATGGAAATAATTTTGAAGTCACTCAAATCTTGAAAGTAAGCTGACCTATCATTCTTTACCCCCAAATTATTATTTAAAAGTGATACGATACATTTATGAATTTCACTATATCCTAAGTCTATGGTAGGCAGTTCTGAGGCAAACATCCTTCTGCTTATCCAAAGCTGTTTTCCCCCTAAGTATACTATTTTTATTTCAGTTCTAATTTGGCCACTCTGGATTGTCTTTTATATCAATATAGATTAAAAGTATTAGTAATGCTAATCTGTGTTTTAAAACTAATTTTATAATGTATTTACCTGATAAAGCAGAAAAACTACCGCTGCCAAGTACTTACCAGCAAAATGTCTTTCAATCATGGCTTTCAGATCTTCTTCCTTAACATTCTCGTCTATTTGACCCACTTGGGACAATTCAAGTTTTGTCTTCGTTGTATCCACAGGTCTCTTTCTTTGATCTCCCTTTCTACCACCTATGGGATGATCATTTTTACTTTGCGCCAACTCAGCTTTTAAATCATTTTCTCTATCTTCCTCTTCTCCAACTTCATCAACAGTAACAAAATTAAGTTCTTCTTTAAGGTTGTTAAAATCTGCGAGAGAGTCTTCATCCTCTTCAGTTACTTCATCCAAAGTCACTAAATTCATATCAGTGTTTTCATCTTGTATTTCATCAACAGTAACTAACGTAGATGGGTCTTCAGGCAACTGAGAAGAAATGAATCCGATGGACTCATTCACAGTATTTCCTTCATCACCTTTAGTATCCAAAGTGGCAAAAGTTACATCTGTTGACTCATTTAAAGGTAGTTCTTCTACCTCTCCAATTTCATCCACAGTTACTAAGCGTTCCTGTTTGAGAAGATCTTGTTCTTCTGCCACTGACAAGACAGTAACATCTTTAGGCTCACTATGGGAAATGCAATCATCCTGATCAATTAACTCATCTAATGTAAGAAGTGAATTTGAATTTTTTACCATTTCTTCCATATTTAGTTCTTCTTCATCAATTACTTCATCCACTGTAACTAGAGCTTGTGCTAGATGTGCAGCTGCATCTTCTTCCTCCCCAATCTCATCCAATGTCACAAAAGACAATTCTCCCTCAACAACATGAGGGGCAGAACTTTCTCCCTTCTTCTTTAACCTAAGTTCAGAGGAAGGGATATTTTTAAGAGTCTCTTTCCTTTTTCCTTTTGGTGGATTCTGCTTGGCTTGAGAAGGATTCACTTCTTCTATAACCTCATCCACAGTAACAAATTCATCCAAATTGAAGGGAAATAATGGTTCCTGTTGGGAAGTTAAACATCATAGTATTGAGAACAACTACTTACTAGGTTTCACTGGGTCTCAGTACATATTCAGTAACTTCTTGGGGGAAAGTTTGAAAGCAACTGTACTATCAATTTGTTAAGCCAACAGAACTAACCACAATCTTTTCTGTTTCCAAAACTACTAATACAACTCTTTGCACCAAGAAAATAAGACTCAAATCCATCCCACTCAAGAAGCCAAGAGTGATAAAGCAACAGAAAAAAAAAAATTCTGTAAATGACTGAAACCTAAAATACCAAAATAATCAAGTATAACATATTTGATGATAGCATTAAGAAAAGCAAACTTTAAAGTACATCTAATTAAATTAGAGGCAGACCAAAAGGATCACTTGTTTGGCAGTTTCACAGAATGGACTCACTACAGTCAAATGCCAGTCTCACTTACATATGATTTATTTTGCACTTGTAACCCATTCCTGTCAATATGAGATTGGTGGTATTTTATGACTCTATCTTCTGTTCATACTTTACTTTTTCAAGTTTCTACCAAGAACACAAGCTAATTATTTAGCCTAGTTCACTGTTAAAAGTGAATTAGTGATAAGATAAAAAATAGAACAACTCAATCCTTTTCCTTGCTCTGTCTCTCTCTCAGTCTCTAAACACTTGAATGAACTAATTCATTTAAGGGAGATGTAAATTTTAAGACAGATGAATTCTGCTCTGTAAGGGTGAAAAAGAAGGATAGTGAATTGTTTCTTACCTCTTTAGATTTAGAACTTCTACTAGTGGTACTTCTAGAATTCTTAGTATTTTGCCCAAACAAAGTCTGAAATAAGAAATAGTAATAAAAAACACAGAACTCATCACCAGGTATTAATGTTCTTTAAAAAGCAAGCAACAAACACAGCATTATCCAAATCATAATTAAGCATCTGTTAAATGAGTATATAGAACTAAGTCATTAATTTTTTAATAGTACAAACACAGTCTCTAAAAGTTGTAGTTATATTCAGTTTTACTCATCTTTTATCCCTACAGATACAATGCCTGAGTTGGGTAAACAGTGAGTGACCTGATAAGGAAGATTCAATTTAAGTAAGAAAACAAGTTTCCCATTCAGTAGCAGAGTACTAAATCACCTTAGGAGATTCATTGCAGACATTTTAAACCAAAGTTGTATTTCTGGCCAAATTTTATCCAAATAATGCTTTTCAATCCTATTAATAAACTAAGAACATGAACTTAATATTCTAAATGTCTACTGGCTTAAATCAATAGAATCATTTAAGAAAGGGAAATGGGAACTTGGGCGGGAAGTAGTGGAGTGAGGAGGTGAAGTATGAGACAAGGTATCTCTGACTCCATAGTTAGAGCAGTAAGGGCTAACCACTTCAAACATATATTGAGCCAGTCTTCCTACCAGCCTCACCTTATTGTTGCTGTCATCCCGTTTCATGATGGAAGGTCTAGCCTCTGTTTCCTGAGACTGTTTTGTTATATCCCTGTAATCCAGTTTAGAATCCTTGCCTTGCAGGGCTGATACTCTTCCACTTCCACCTCTGGTAACACTGCTTTGAGTGAGTTTGGATTTACTGCTGCTTTGTGCCAAGGACCCAGAACTTGTAGGCTTAAGTACACCTAATTCCTTGGCTACAAGTTTCTTTTCCGCATTTATTTGATCTCTGAACACAGATTTTAGTAAACTTTTCTGGTTTTCAGTTTTTGACGTTGCAGCTTTTGCCTTTGGATTAGAGCCTATCGAAGCCTTGATGGATGATTTACTGCTAGATACATTTAATGTCAGAATAGTTTTACTAGTTTCATCAGGTTTATTGACCTGATTCACTCCTTTATTTGGGTATGCCGTGGTCACAGTGTTTTCTGCAGACTTTTCTTTCACTGCTGCCACAATCTTTTCCAACTTCTCTGCAACCATCCCAGTTTCATTCTTTTTGGCCTTCTCTGTTCCTGTTTGTATATCCACTGCAGCTTCCTTAGTACTGAATTCATTCTCCTCCTTTTCATCAATGTTACTTTTCCCAGAAATTCCCTTTCTGCTCATTGCATTCTCATCCTCAATGGAAATTCCTGGTACCAAGGCCACAACACAAGCAGATGGTACTATATCTGAAACAGTTTCATGTTTGTTTGCTTCAGATACTCCCTCTTCCACAGACTGTGCAATTCCAGAAAAGAAGTCTTCTGCTTCAGATGTAGATTCTTCTAGAATTCCTTTGATGTTCCTTTCTTCCATAAATGTACCATCAGATGCTGATAATTCTGTTTCAGGATTAACAATTTCTGACTCTTCCATCTCAAAGTCAGTTGTATATACTTGTGAATTTAAATTAGGCTCCTTTACATTTTCAGGAAAAAATTCAATACTGCCTGGAGGAGATACCATCAGAGGCATTTCCACTTTGATTTTCTCTCCTTGAGTCTCAACATCCAGTGTTTTAGTAGCAAAGTCAGTGTCACAGAGGGCCTTTTCCAGTTGTTCCTCACAAGGTTCTTCCTGGTGTACAGAAGGTTCTGTTTGAATACTGGAAGTCGTCTCTTCTTCAGCCTCACTAGGTTTAACAGAGGGACTATCAGCTGCTGTTTGCACCTCACTCTCATCAACTGGACTGTTTTTCAAGTCAGAGCTAAAAGTATTTCAAAACAAACAAAACAAAACACAAACAAAACACAAACAAAAATCAAACTATGATGAGAATTCAACCATTATAAATAATCCTGTTGATGCCAATTGTTAAGACTTCCTGATGCATTAGTAATTAAGCATTGGGAAATCTAGCCAACCAGCAATAAAATGGTTAAGGTGTTTTGACATAAATATATAAACAATATAAAATTTTAAAAGAGATCTTCCACTACATTGAAGGTTTGATTTTTTTTAGTTGAAATAACGGCAAAGGTACAGCTGTCAATAAGATCATATATGTTAAAACCAATTTTTAGCACCTGTATCAAATTTGCACATGACATCAGAAGGTGGGAATGTAAAGGTCCAATTATGTAAGACTGGTAACAGACATAACAAAATGTGAGTACAGTTCTACAATGAAACTAATCATACAGGCATTGAAATCTGTAATTTTGCAAGTCAAACTTATGTAAAAAGAACACAAAAAAACTGCTAATGGGGGAAAGCTACACTATACTATAATCTATTGCCTCTTGTTTTTACATGTGAAATGTGTGTTTTTTATTTAATTTTTCAAGACCTGTATGAGGGGACTTGAAAAAGTTCAAAGAAAAGTAGAATTAAAAAGGTAATGGAATTTTTCCAGGACCTTTTTGAAGCTCTCTTGTATTTATGAATAACAATTCTTAGTTTTCTTTGAAAGTTATCTGTCACATACTCCTGTTGGAGATTTAAAGTTAAAGGAGAAGCATAACATGAACATATGGTCCTTCAATTAAATGTAAGTTCCTTTAATGGCACTGCTGTTGTTAGGTGCCGTTGAGTTGATTCTGACCCATAGCGACCCTGTATAGGGTTTCTAAGGAGCAAAGCTGGTGAGCTTGAACTGCCAACCTTGCAGAGTTCAACGGCTTTATAGTCTGGCACGTTAATCCACAGCACCACACCAGGACTCCTTAGTGGAATTAGGAGTAAGTATATATTAAAAGAAATACTTCCAGTTACAGGTAATAATTAAAAATTCCAATACATAATTTAAAGATTTAAGTAAAATTATTCACAAGAAATGGAGAAAATATATGACAAATAAACACAACTAATCTTTGTATCACGGACTTCCAAATTCAAAGTAAACAAAATGTGACTGTAATTCTGTTACATCACTGAGACATAGAGAAAAAACTTTTACATTTTAGTTAACAATGTCCTATATGATGGTATCTATATCCTAACACATTTTTATTACATGCCAGAAACTCAGTAAGTGTCTACCACCATTTTCTAAACATCTGAGCCAACAGAAACTGCTTCTCTCCCACAAAGGTGGGAAGTTTAATCTTGCCTAGGACCAAAAAAATTTTAAAGGTCAGAGGAACGATACTTTATAAAACGTTTCAAGGACAGAGTCTGAGAAATCAACTTTAAGCTGAATAAGGACTATAGTCCTTAACCAATATGCAAATTAAGTTCATTTGTACTTAATTTGTTTTATATTGAAAAGGTTCAAAGGTTTTTATTTGAAAAAACTCACATTCCTTATATTTAGATGCTACTGGCTGATCTAAGTGTTCTTAGAACTAGTCAAAACAAATTTGTGACCAAGCATTAAATTTAACAAAGATAATGTTATGACATTAACAATTTTATAGTAGTTGTATGAATATTATTTCTCAAAACACAAAGGGGTTTCAAAAACTTCATGGAAAGTGGCATTAATTTCCTACTCACGTCTTTGTTCAAAATTTGTAACTCAATCACAAAAGGACCAAAATAGTATGAGATCACACGTTAAAACATTCCCAGGGGTGGGAAGAGAGGATAAATACAATATACTTGGTTAACTTGAGTGAAGGGGAAGCAGTATACAATAAAAGAGAGGTCAGTAGGCAGAGAAGGCAATGGAAAGAATGGAAGAATTAAAAACAACAGAGGTCTCAGAGGAAACAAAGGTCAACTGCCACATTGCTGCTGAGATGCCACAGAGTCGGTACTGACTCATAGCGACCGACCCTATGTACAACCGAACGAAATACTGTGCGGTCCTGGGCCAACCTCACAATTATTGCTATGTCAAGTAGCATAATAGTGCACAAAAAAAGTTTTCTATATCCTACTTTAGTGTGCAGCAACTGGGTCTTAAAAGCACAGAGCAGCGTGCAACTATTAGTCTCTACCTGTTCTGAGGAAAGAAGACTAAAGAAATTGGCAGGCACATGGAAATAATAAATCCAATGGACTTTGGACAGAGTGGAACATTAGTCTCCAGGACCCAAAGATCAGAAAAAGTAGAAGGTACCTAGCTACCTATGACTACCATTTCTGAAAAGGATCCACATTAGACAGACTGATAGAAAAATGTGAAACAAAACTCCAAAAAAAAAAAATCACAAAAAAGACCAAGTTTACTAGATTGATACAGACTGTGGAACCATTGAGATACTATGGCCCTTACAATTATCTTTTAGGTCTGGAAATGAACTCATCTCTGCTGATAAATTTTCAGTCAAATTACAGACAAGTATATAAGAGGAACAATAACATTAGGGAGGTATGCACACATTAGAATAATCAATTATTTGAGATCAAAAGGGCAGAATTTACTCAAGGACGAAGTTCAGAAGGGTTAGGAAAGAAGGCAGAATGGAAACAAATCACACAGGGAGGAAGTTGGATATGTCACGTTACAGAGAGACCCAAAATATGTAAGAATTTTTAAATGGAAAACTGATCTGCTCTATAAACCAATTATTTTTGGTATAAAATGAATCACAACCAAAGTCATAAACCACACTTGTGCATAAATTGTGAACTGGATAGCAAATTTCCTCTGTAAACATTTACCTACAACACAATAAAAAGTTCACACACAAAAAAACACATATAAAAACTAAACAATATAAAACTCTGTACTTCCAAGAACGCAGATCTACTTGGATATATGTTTTAATTCCTTTTTTGTTCTTATGTATTGGTTTTCAAAAAGTTATAGTTACCTTCATAAAAATCATTCAATGAAAATTAGTTACCTTGTTTTTCTGGCTAATATGGGAAAAAGTTTCAGTACTGAACACGTTAGCTTGGGAAGTCAATTTGGATGTCAAATAGATAACATTCTTTATTAATAATAGAGTAAATCTTTTTAAAGATCAAAGCAAAACAACCATATTCTGGGAAATGGCATAAAAAAGGGATTCCAAGAAGGAATTTTGTATACAGAAAAACAGCTTGACAAAAGAAGGAAATCTGTAGGTTGTATTACTCTTAATTTCAGTAAATATTAAATCCCAAATCTCTCAGAATATAGATATTGACCACACACCCCCCAAACCAGTTTCATAAACTTCAGAAAAGATACACAATAAAAGAGGGGTATGAGAAAAACTTTAACACATTACCACATACATGCTGAAAAACTTAAACACTTAGAAATACTAAAGATTAGTGTTATTCTAAAGGGCCACCAGGAATTCGATGACGTTATTTATGAATTGGTAAAAAAAATTCAACTAACAACCTCATTTGAACTCTTAAATACATAATAAATATTGCCTACTGCGTGTGTCCTGGTGTGGGGTAAAAGCACTGGACTGCAAGGTTTATTTGAACCACAAGGTTGGTAGTTCAAACTCACCATCCGCTCCTTGGTCGCTATGAGTAGGAACCGATTCAATGACACTTAACAACAACTATGTGTGTGTTTATGAGTGGCACAACCAAAACATGGGCTATTAATAAACTGTCAATATAGACTTACTACTCACATCAATTATCTTATTATTTCACCAATTTGCATTTACCACAATAGTAAAAAATTTACTATCCAACTATTTTATGCATTAACATCATAAATATGGTAGTAACAAATACCAAGAAATACTGAATCAGGTGGACAATGGATCCTGTTTGAGCGAAGAAAGGACACTCATTACATAGCATTTCACCTTACAAGAGGGGAGCAGGAGCTTAGCCTCTGGAGTTGTTGCCTGGGGTGGGGTGGGAGGGATAGTTTGGAATGGGGCCAGCAAAGAGGGGAACTAGGTGGCAGGTCCTGGGTGCTCACAGACGGCTGAGGCCAGTACATAAACAAAACAGCTAGTGTTCTAAAGGTGGGCCACCCTTGGGGCCAGGGACAAAGTAGGAACTTGGGTTACAGCCCCAAGGTGTGGCAGGGACAGGCTGGGCCACAGCTAGAAGCCTCTCTGAAAATGGTCTACCTTGGGTACCCACGTCAACTGACTGGCACCTGTGCTATATGCTTCCTCGATGCTGCCTCTCAAGAACACAAGTGAGGGCCGTGATGACAACCTGGAGAGTGAAGTGGAGGGGTGTCAGCAGGTAATTTGTTATCAACGGCAAGGTTGGGCCTGGCTGTCATAGTTTCTGAATTGTTGAGTATAGTGGGAACAAAGAGGCAGGAAGGAGAGGGTACGGGTTCCTAGTGAGAGACAGGGAATATTCAGGCAAAGGGGTGGCAGGGGGAACCAGCAAGCAGAGCACAATCAGCTTCTCCTGCCTTCTGATAGGGAGCTCCCTGCTCCCACCAAATTCACCAAGGGCATTCTGGGATTGTTGAGGGGATGAGCCAGGGCCACTCAAAATGAAAATATGGTGAGTGCAGGAAAGGAAAGGGATTCTAGGAAGGAGGGCAATGGTAGAACTTAGGCCACCATGGTTCCTTTGTGGCAGCAGTGGTGGCAGGTGACCTCTGCAGGGAGTTGATGAGACATTCAAAGTACAGGTGAGGGGGTAAGGTTATGTGGTACAATGTGGATTTTCACATAACCACTTGGTCTTTAGAACCTAATCGTGCTTGTAAGTGAAGAGTGGGTCTATTCACATGAAATATCCTTTAAATCACCAATCTATTTAAATAAAAACAAACTGAATACTCATAATGCAACAGCACTATGTGCTTCAAACAAAACACACAGTATTTTCTTGTATCAGTTTACTCCAAAGGAAATGTGCAATATTCTGACCACATCCCGTATCTTTTATCACTAATGCCATAATATTTAGAAAAGAACTGTTAGTGCTAGAAAATTTTTAACAACAAACTCATTAAAAAATCTTTCATTTTAGGAAGGAGCCTTGGTACCACAATGGGCTAAGTGGTGGGCTGCAAACTGCAAGGTGAAGGTGGCAGTTCAAACCCACCACCCACTCTAAAGAATCAAGTTTGCTGTCATAAAGACTTATAGTTTCAGAAACCATAAGCAGCATTCCTTTGTTCCTGTAGGAGTGCCATATGTCAAAAATCAACTGATGGTAGGTGTATCCATTTTAGGAGAATAGTCTAACTAATGAGAGGGAGAAAAAACGTCAAAAGTATAGATAACAGCTATTATTGCAGATCTGAGAGAAATGTGGTCAAATGAAATCTACACAAGGTAGTTTTGGAAAAACCTACAGAGTTTCTATGGACACAAACTATAAGCCTACCTATACTAGTACATGTGACATTGTTATATTGAGCCCTTTGTGGCTTTTACACCAACCACTGCAGGTAATATTACCTTTTAAGCATGTGAATATAATCAGTATGATATCCAACTTGTAAAAGTATGCTGACACACAGCAAACCAGTTGCTTAAAATTACCAATATATCAATGTTTTCATAGTCATTTTTACAATTTCAAATCACCTGATTTTATAAGAATAGAGAGAAAAACCAAGATGGATTGTTTTTCAGGCATCTTAAAATTGATGGTGGTGGCTGGTGGTTATGTGCTGTGGAGTCGGTTCCGACTCATAGTGACCCTGCACAGGGTTTCCGAGGCTGTAAATCTTTATGGGAGCAGGAAGCCTCATCTTTCTCCCGTGGAACAGCTGGTAGTTTCAAACTGCTGACCCTGAGGTTAGCAGCTCGATTTGTAACCATTACGCTACCAGATTGATAGTGCCATTAAATCTCACATTTTTAAAAGAAAAACCCATTTTCCATATTAAACTGCTGTTTCAAACTCTATAAGCTCTTTCTACAGACAGCAAAAAAGTGAATCACTTAGCATGAAGGAGGGAAAAAAATTTAAATTAGTGATTCTTAATGAAGAACAGTGAAAGGGAGGTTTTTAATTGGTCGCAAAAGGGAATGAATAATAGTAAATGGTAAGTTGTATACGACCAAACAAGTTTCTAACTCACTAGTTTGTGTAGGCTCTGAAGAACAAACTCATCCCCTGAAAGTACAAAACAATGTATATCATATCATTTAAAAAATACTATCTCTTCTCCTCACTAGATGCTTTTTAAAAGTATCAAAATACACATTAAACAGTAAGCTAAAATATCCTGAAATGCAACTCCCATCTTTTTAACCAGAGAGTTGGAAATGATTAAGGTTCTGTCTATCTCCTGGCCTAATTTTAAAGACAAACCATAATTTCTCAAATGAACAAACATGCATGGTTTCTTTTTGTATTTCAAGTCAATAAGGTTAAAAATGAATGTATGAAATGATTTAAATGTTATTGTGTTTAATTATGTTAGAATTGAAAGATGAAACAAAGAATATTAATCAGAGTTGAATGTTCAAACACATTTTAGCTAAACATTTAAAAAGCCATATTATATCAACACAATGAAATAAAAAAGTTGTATTTATATATGTAATTTCAACTATTTACATATTCAGTCTTTCTTAATAAGTAGCAAATATGTGAAAGAGCCCAACAATACCCCTACTCCCTAAGTAAAATAGAGCTGAAAGACATTGAAAGAGGATCATATGCATACAGAATAAACAAACATGTCTAAGATATACATTTTTGATACATAAGAACATTAAAAAAAAAATGAAAATAAGATCTAGTAATCAATTATAATACAAAACTGTTAGCATGCTTAAAGCAACATACCTTTCTTTCTCCTGTTCTGAATTTTTCTCAACTTGAGCCTGTAACATAATTCCACATTTTATTAGACGCTATTCAAATGGATTTTATGTACTTAAAACATCAATGCAATGTTTTCAGTTTTTGAAATCCAAACTAAAAAATTAGAAAACTTTGTAAAAATGTATCAATATACACACTTTAATAATATTCTCATTTCTAGAGTTTATCTCATAAAATGAAGACTTCTAATTTAGGTAATACAGAATAACTGCCATATACTGATAGTGAGAAAAAACGAATATCCATAATGTTGATATATATTAAAAATCTTAAAAAAAAATGTAAGAGACCTATTAACTTCAAAAGCTCTTCACTCAAAACATCTAGAAGTACTTGAAAACATGGAAAACAAATTCTCCAGCAAAGCAATGCCAGAGCCCCAAAAAGTAACCAGGAATTAAAAAAGCACTGTTTATATACCAAGTATGGTCACAGGCACTTGAGATGAATAAATGAAAAATCCCAAAGTGCTGCACTTTTAGAGCTTATACATAACTAGCAATAGAGACTTTTTCTGGGAATCATGTTTTCTAGGTTGAAAACGGTTTTTCTTTGGCTAAAAAGCTTTGATTGTACTTCAATAAAACTAAATATACCGAACAGGAATTTCTAGTGTAGGCTGTGTATCTTCTCTACTAACATATGATTTCCCTTGAGGATTGAGACATTAAATCTTTTGTTTATCGATATCCATAATGCCTGCAAGAGTACTGGCATAAAAATGAAACTAGAAGAATGTTTGTTTAATGTGTTAATGAATAAATCCTAAAGCTTTAAAAGAATGAATGAAATCAGAATCTGACATCTAGGTAAACTATCACTAAAGTATGAATAAAGTAAAATTTATTTTCAAATGTGCAATGATTTATGTTCACTATTATTAGAGAACTTTTTAAATTCTACAAATGGAACTACAAAAAAATGGAGTGTGTGTGAAGAAAAAGGAGGATAATATAGACACGTTAATTAATTAGCTCATTCTGAAGACTGGGAAATTAAAATCTGTTGTAACAAAAAGTTTACCCAACTAGCAATTAATATTTGTTGAATGCATACATACAATAGACACTATGTGATATCTTCGAGTTCACACAGTTTATCAGTGGAGGAGCTAACTAGATCTTTCACATTAAGTTAACTGCATTCTCTAGTTCAATATGCTTTAAAAGAAGAAAAGCTTTAAGTAAGATTTTGGGAAGGAAAATGCCAATTCACACAGGGTTTTATATAATTTTCACCCATTTCATTTTACATCTGGGAATTTGGGGTTTTCATCAGTATTTATTGCAGTTCTGAATTTAGTTACATAATGTAATAATTTCAGAAACAGCAAAAACACAGATTTTTAAAAATGCAATGGTACACTGAGAAAAGGTGGCTAAAAAGTTCTAAAATTGCTTGAGACTATGATGTATTTACTATAGGTGCTATATTTAATTTGGATTTCAGAGGGTGAAATTTTTGAGTTTTGAGCTACTGAAAGATTTTTAACAGGTTAATAAAAATCTATAGATGCCAATATAAATCCCTATCACTGAGATGGAGTAGGGTGGCTCCATTCGATAAGCAATGGATTGTGAACTACAAAACTGGCAGTTAGAGCTTATTAGCTGCTCCCCTAAGGGAGAAAGATGAAGCTTTCTGATTCCCAAAAGATTAGTTTAAAGCCTCAGAAACCCTATACATTTGCTGTGAGTCAGAACTAATTCAATGGCACTGAAAAACATCATTGAGGCAAATAGCACTAATAGTGAAAATATCTGGTAGTTTGAATTTAATTGTTTCAAAGGTTAACTATTCACAGCTTTCAGAATGGTATTACTGTGCAACCCAAGAAGCTGTAAAATCTTATTTCTTATTATAAAAACCCGAGTTTTTAATAAATATACCAGGATGAAACAAAAATAGATTCAAAGTATCTTCTGGATAGGAAAAGCAATCATTTTATACATGAAATCACTCTACACTTAAGTTCATAGTAAGTTTTAGGACTTAAGTCTACATTTTCAAAATTATCTTTTTCATTTAGAAAAATTTACACTGTGCCATGGAGGTGGGTCCAGTGGTAGAATTCTTGCCTTTCATGCCAGTTTGTCATAATGCTGACTCAACAGTGTTTCCAGACTACGAAAAAGTAGGAAGAAAGGCTAGCAATTGACTTCTAAAAATCAGCCCATGAAAACGTTATAAATCACAACAGGTGAATCCACAACTGATCATGAGGATACTGCAAGACTGGGCAGTGGTTTGCTCTGTTGTGCACAGGTTGCCATGAGTCAGAGATCAATTTGATGGCAATTAAACAATACTGCCCCATACACCATGAAAACTGGAACACTGAATAGATTGCAAAATCAAATATGAAAAAGAAGGAAAATTTAAATCAAGAGCCAGTTTGACTACTGCCTGAGAATAATTCATGAAATAACCTTCTATTTAGAGAGACTAACCCCCTTACACTTTCCTCACTGTCTAGAAGCACTAAAGTTGACACACAAAAAACAAAAAAAAATCTTACCTTAAGTGAGTCTATCTTCGGAGATAATGTGCAGGTCAATACATAGTCACCTATGTTCTGTGGATTTTGTTTCAAAAAGTTGTACATTGACTGAGCAGATTCAGGACTATCTAATTGAAGAATTGCCTTTGGAGAAGGGAAAAAAACATTAATTTTTTTTCCTTTTAGTTTTTAATATATGATCACAAAGCTAAGGTTAATCTTTATTTCAAAGTCAATAAAAGAAAACTATAGAAATGTTATAAGGTACAACTAAAGAGAATGGTAGATAATTAAAAGAGAGAAGATTAAAGATGTCTAAAACAAAGGTTCAGAATTCTATCTGTGACCTTCTCGTCTTCCGGAAATCTTCTCATCACACTATTCTAAAGAAACCAGACACATTATATGTATCAGTAAATGGCATGTCAAAGAAATTAGTAGCTAGCTGTTGGTCAGTTATTCCTTATACAGTAATACTGTAAAGTGTCTCTGGTAGTATAAATGGTTAATATGCTCAGCTACTAACTGAAAGATTAGAGCAAATCAGAAGAAAGGTCTGGTGATTAACTTCTGAAAAACCAGGCATTGAAAACACAGTTTCACTGACACATATGAGATTTCCATGAGTTAAAATCGACTCAGAGGCAGTTAGTAAATAGTACCAACTTCAACACAAAATACAGATTTTTATAGGATATAGTTAACCAAAATCTACTTTTAATGCTTATATACCTAAAACAAATATTAAATGTGAGGGCGCAGTAAATATAAATAGTTCAACAGTTTTTGGTTCTTTTAAGAAAAGAAGCCAAATCTGGAAAGTTAAGAAATGGTTGTTTTATTTAGTCTTTTTACTTCGTAACTAAATAAACAATGTGGTGCGCTTTAAAGATGAAAGGGACTTGAACTCAAATTGTACACTGATTTAGAAAAGGTCAAAAAGATAACTAAGGGATAAAGAGTGTAAGGTCTAAACTTCCAGTTAGATAATGTTCTAAAATTTCAGTTAGATAATATTCTTTAAATTATCTTTCTCACTGTGTGAACCTTGATCTCCCCTCAATAACTAATCCTAAATAGAAATTATCTCATCTTTCTTGTTCAGGGAAAAATACTTTAATCCATTACAGTTATTCTAATAAGTCAAACAATGTTTATAAATGCTTCAGCTCAAAAGCTGAATGAGAAGTTGCAAACAATAAGGAATGTAGGACTCAACTACACATCCTCTAAGAATACTGAACTTAGACATTACCTTGTTTTTGTTATTCATGAATATGTGGTGATCCACTTTTCCAAACTGAAGTCCAATACAAAGTACACACTGAAGTCCATCTTCTGGTAAGTTATCAAGATGTACAAATCGATCATAACTTTTATCGATATTTGCCTATAGTTTTTTTTAATAGAAGACAACATAAGAAAAGGAAGAACACAGCTATAGTATTAAATTATAAAACACAGATTTTAACAGTAATATATTATTTCAGCTCAGATGATGTCCTCCTTGCCAAGAGAATGAAAATGACTGCATGGATTAAGATTGTTGTTAATTGTTAAATGCCTTCAAGTTGATTCCAACTCACTGCAACCCCATATAGGGTTTCTGAGGAGGGACTAGTGGATTTGAACCACCAACCTTGCATTTAGCAATTCAGTGCTTATACTATAGTGCGATGCCAGGACTCCATGAGTTAAGAGGCCTAATTTTAGATTTGAGTAACCAGTAAAACAATATACTAAAACAGAAGGAATAATCTGTCTTTTATGAACATAAATGATACCCCAACAACCTCACCAAACAAAATATGGATCTATTTCAAACTTAATATATATTCTAGTATCTGAGAGGGGGAAAATAACAAACAAAAAGAAATTACTATTAGGGACTGTCCTAACTCTTGACTTCTGATTTAGGACAAGCACTAGACTACTAACCACATCAGTGGTACAAACCCATCAGCTACTCCTTGGAAAGCCTAATACAGAGTTGCTCTGAGTAGGAACCGACTCCACAGAACTTAACAATAACAACATCTGTTGTCTCCTTGACCTCAAAATAAATTGTTAAGCTTTTTGTTATGAAGTGAGTGAAGACTTACAGACAAGACCATCCGTTTTATATTAAAAAATCATACACTGTTTAACCTCAACGACTGCAATCACTTCCCTGTAACTACAGTTATCCTCATTTCTCCCGTGGTACTATTTTCATTCCACCCACTTTCCCATCCCTTCTCAGTTTTATCCTTGGGTAAATGGTACCCTTTTGATTGTGAATGACCATACCATGGTGAGCTTATCTTATTAGTATTGCACCTCCCTTACAAAACTATCTACTGCTTGGTTGAACATTGGACCACAAGGGTGAGTTCAATTCTAGAACTTAAACATCACACCTCAGTATCTTAAAATTAATAATATTTTCTTCAATTTCAAAAGAAGTTAACTAACAAAAAATGTTTCTGTAAGTCAAAAAAGTATATACAAAAAGCATTTAAATATAAATTTTACCTCTGGATCATCTTCTTTAATCAAGGTTGTAAATATAGCTTCCTAAAAATGTAAAATAAATAAAGGCTGATCATGCAAATTCTTTCTCATACATGTATTTAATTAGTCAGGTCTTAAAATAATCTATTCAAAGCAGCATTTATCAATATTTCATAAAATAAGTAGCAAAAAGTTTTGTTCCTTCCAAAAGTTCTTCCCTCTTTAATCCAAGTCCAGCCCCCTTGATTCCTTCTCCTCTCCTAAGTGTCTAAGTTTTGAGGCAATACCACTTAGGGAAGGAGAACTACACAAAATAAAGGAATAGCAAAATTAATTTAGAAGGTAAAATCATAAAAGTATATAATGAAACAAAATTATCTAAGCAATATAGGGGGTGAGGAAGAGCAAAGATGCAGCCTAGTACAAAACAATACAATATACAAAGTATACAGTGATTTCAGGTTACTTAATTATAAGTAAGAGGTCACAGAGAATGAAACAGGATGTTAAAGTTAGCAGAGGCAAGCTAATGAAGTTTCACATATGCATGAAAGAATTCTGGGAGGCTGAAACCATGGATCTAAAACATTCTCCCCTCCCCACCTTCGACACTACAAATGTGTATAACACAATTCTAGAAATTATGTCACATTAATCTTCCAGAGAAGGCCTTTTCTTGCCTTACCTTTCCCTAGGGAGTTCTGGTGTGTCACCTTAGGATAAGCACTCAATATCAAGGTTGGTTTGAACTGCAAGGTAGGTGGTTCAAACTCACCAGCTGCTCCTCAAAAACCCTATATAGGGTGGCTATGAGTCGGAATCGACTTGATGGCACACAATAACTATCTTGCCCCAGAGATCCTAATAATTCCAATTAATGCCTCTAGGCATCTGAAAAGTAAATATTTGCTGCCCCTGGAGAGACACTGTGGGGATTTCTATATCAAACTATTTTGCATTTCAATAGATTTTAATTTTACACTAGTCTATTTTGCTGTTGTCGTTAAGTGCAGTCAAGTCTGTTCTGACCCATAGGTACCCTGTACAGGGTTTCTGAGGAGTAGCTGGTGAGCTTGAACCACTGACCTTGTAATTTCAAACTGACTTTGTAGTCCAGCGCGGCATTAACCCACGGTGCTATATCAGTCATTTTGAGTGTTATTTTAAAAAAAAAAGGGTTTGTGGAGGACAAGACGGAAGGCAAGAAGTTAGTTTAATTTAGAACCTCTGAGTCGGTTCTAACCCACAGCAACCTGGTATAGGGTGTTTCTGAGGAGTGCCTAGTATGTTTGAACAGCCACCCATGCCATTCAAACCAACTTTCCTGTCCAATGAATTAATCCACAGCACCACACCAGGACTCCGGCAGTTCACTAGTCTTTTCAAAAAATTTTTATTATCTGGAATAGAATAGAACAACATACCTATCTGGTATTACTGTTCACTTTATAGGCCTATTTATTTGGGTAAAAGTTGAACCACTGGTTTGAAGTATGAGTTCACTTCCAGGTCTGAAGGGTGTCTGAGGGTTTCTTGGGGATTTTACCACTCTCAGACTAATAAACTTGAACTTCATGATTTTGAGTTTTGTTGCACCATTTTTCTCCTACTTTAAGACTTTTTATAGTTGTCCCTTTCAGGGTGATTGGTAGTGATAAGCTTGGCACCTTCAGTTCTACTATAGTCTCAGGGTGGTAGACTCTGAGGTTTGCCTGGATAATTAGTCCAATCGACTAACTGCTTCCATGCACCTTTGATTTTCTGCACTCTTCCTTACTCCAGATTTGTTTTGGACTTGGAGAAAGGCCAATAGGTGCACCTCAAATGGCAAGCCAATATTCACAAGAGTAGGATACAGAACACCATTTTAGTGTACTTTTATGTCATTTGACTGTTATGCCCATACTATGGCCGAGTCCCAAGGCCCAGTGACTCATTCCTTCATGGTGTTTGGGTATGTTAAGAAATTTTCATAATCTTGCTGTGTATACAACTCTACTATATTCATAGCACTTATAACCTATATATTTATGGAAAACGTCTAATTCACCTTCCCATACCTGTTCAGTTTGTATGTGTATTTAAATGTCAGGTCGTAAATTATTATTACTGCTATAACAAAACTGTGCAAGTAACAGGATTTACTTTTATAGCCTTAAGACTCTTGTGCTCCCCTCTTCCAGTGTTGTCTATTAACTTCATCATTTTGAGTTAACCTCCCCTTTACTGTAAATTGTCTTCGCCTTCACCCAAGTTAAAATCTGTCTATCCTCTAGTTAGTGACTTATCGTCCAACTTCTGATAACCATCAAAAAAGTTTCTTTCTGTGATAAAACCTTTTTTAAGAGATGAAAAAAATGGTTTCTGGGATGATGACATTATATTTAGGAGTTAAAAGAGAAGAAATTTGATGTGTGATTGATTAAATGCGGAAAATGAGAGAAAAAGGTTTCCAGTTTAGAAGATAAGAGTACATTATGAGGGAGCTACAAAATGTTCGTGGGAAAATGTAACTACAGAATTTTCCCACAAATGTTTTGAATCCCTGTCAGAGAGAATCCTGTTCTCAGATAACTGTTTATAACTTTTTTTCCACCCCAGAAGACTTCCATATTACATTATGGAAGTAACTCTCAAAGAGTAGAATTGTAGATGGACAGTGAAAAGCTTTCTCAGTCTTAAAGAAAACACACATGATGTTTTCAAATTGAGACATGGATGCCAAAGGATAGTAGCAGTAGAGATAAAACTGGTAAGAAAAAGAAAACTAGTAGCGTGCTTACCATGTGCTAAACATAAATGTTTATGTGGCTTCTTCTAATCTTCATAAACATTCTATAAGATAGGTTATTTCCTTAGCTTATGGATGAAGAAATGGACTCAGAAACAACCTTACTCTCAGTTACAAAGTTGGCTAAGTACATCTAAACTCAGGCTATCTACTTCTTAGAGCTTGTGCTCTTAGAGTCAGCACTTTACACTATATGCAGATCAAAGAAAGTGTCAACACTATTCCGTGATGGAATAATTAGGAAGACATTACGAAATGGCGTGAGGATTAGAAAAACAGTATGAAAAATTTAAAAGGGCATTCTAAAGATTCATGAAACAAACAAACAAAAAGAAGTGGTAAGACATTAATAGCTGCTAAGAAATTTACTGACATGGTAAAAAATTATGGCAAAGTCACAATTTACCTTATCTTTGATATTCATGTTTTCAGGAGCCATGCTTAGTGAGAGTTGATTTCCACCCATAGAAATTGGGAAGCAGGTATAAAATTTTACCATAGAATCTCCAGATTTTCTACTTATTTCTATATATGCCTTTCAAAATAGAAATTGCAAGAATGAAAACAATAAATCTTAGTATTTTTTCTGGAAAACATATAATTAACTAAAAAATTGCAATTTAATTTTAAAAAACGGTCTTTTTTAAAAAATTAAGTCTCCATGTCATAAATAATTCACATTAAGTTTTATTGACATAATTTATATGCCATAGTTACCAGCATAGAGTATACAATTATGCAATCATCACAATAATTTTGAGATATGAAGCTACAATGCATCATATTTTCAGTGTGGCACTGTGGGTTAATGCGCTGGACTGCAAAGCCATTTGAACTGCAAGGTTGGCAGTTCAAGCTCACCAGCTGCTCCTCGGAAACCCTACACAGGGTTGTTATGGGTCGGGATCGACTCGACAGCACTTAACAACAACATCAACAACTATTTTCTCAGAAAATTAGCTCAAAGTACAACCAAATGCATATCCTATTTTATTCTCAAAGATTTCTAGCAATTGCCAATTGCTTTCTACTGGAAGAAAACCACGTGGCACCACAAGAGTCCTGTCATTTCTACAAAGAAAAAGAAGAGCAACTCTGTAACAGATTGAAATCAACATGAAGTTAGACTTCATGACTCTTGTTCATTGTATATCAAGGTTTAGCATAGTGGCACATAGTAGGTATACATCAAATATGCTTTAAACAAATGTATCACTAATGCCATTATTAATATTAATGAGAACTGAAATGCATAGTCCTCCAACGACAAAATAGTATTGATAAGCCTAAAATACAACAGAATAATCTTTGTTACAATGGTATGCTACAGCTGGATACTTGGAAACTTTAAGATCACTGATGACCTCAGGATTGCTAAATCTAGTGATTAGTTAGTTCTCAGGTCAATTGGCTCATCGAGTTTTATTTGACACAGCTGCTCACTTATTCCTTTTGAAGCAGTGCACTAAATGTTGAGCTGCTAACATCAATATCGACAGTTCAAACCCACCAGTCACTCCGTGGCAGAACGATGAGGAGGCCATAGTCTCAGAAAGCCAAAGTAACAGTTCTACTTTGTCCCACAGAGTGATTCTGAGTTGGAATTAAATCAATAGCAATGGAATCTTATGGACTTAGGATATAAAACTTATCTTTTTCTGCACTGGTTGTTCTTCAAAAAAACTCCTTTATGTAACTGCTCTCCTCAACTTTTTAATATTAAAGTGCTCAAGGGCTGAGTTTTTGGTCCTTTTCTTTTCACATTCATTCCTTTTGTGATCTTATCCTCTCTCCTAACTTCATGTATTATTATCCATTTGTTGAAGGACACCCCAAACAGAGATTATTATTGAAAATAAACTTAATTGTGTGGTTGTAAAATTACAAAAAACATGTGTACTTACTATAGTATACATAATTAAGAGCATATGATAAACCTAGGTTGTTCTATGTATTAATAACAATGTGTCCGAGTATTAAAATGGTTAGAAATACTAGTTAAATAATACTGCAAAAAATTTCATGACACATTTGAAAACTGCATTAAACATAAAGATGTAAAACATTTTTTATTCAATAACAATTACATAAAAATTTACAAAAAAATAAATCTGATTAAAATAATACCAAAATAAACCCTCCAGGATTCAAAGTTTACTGTGAGATTCTAGCTAAAAAGTTCCTTTTCTCTTTATTTTTGTGAATTTAATGCTTTTTAAAATATGCTTAAAAACAATATGGACAGTTACTATCAACGCTTACCTTTTTATGAGATGATAAAATCAAAATATCATTCAAACCACCAAATGGTTTCGCTAGGTTGTAAATGTCGTCAGTAGAATATCCTTTAGTAGGCAAATTAGATACCAGGACCACACACATTTCCTCTATTTCCTTAAATAAAAGTTAAAAATAAAAAGAACATTAAAATTTCTTTAAATATTTCATATAAGAGGGCTTCAAATTGTTCATGGAAATTTCCATTATCTTTTCATTTCATTTTCCCAAAAACATTCTGAAGTCTGATCGTATTTAAATTTATACTGCCGATTATGTTACATTAAAACTTAAATTGCACCTAATGCTGGGAAAAGCCTCAATAATTTAAGAGGTTAGACTGAACCTAAAATTCAAAACAAAAACCAAATTCTTTTCAGGTACAGAGAATAATTACAGGTCTTAAGGTCACTTTTTCAACTAGTGTTTAAAAACACAAATTGCTTTTGAAAATAAATCTAATATATAAAATACTCTATTAGTGTTTTAAAAAATATTCTTAACATATAAGTAGTTATATGAGCAATGGATCTAGAAAAAACAAAATAATACTTTGTTTAGCACTTGAATCTCAAAATCTAAATCAATAATATTTAATGAGATTTTAAAGAAACTGAATAATATGCAGATAATATAAACACAGGAAAATAGTAAACTTTATGCCATTCGAATACAACTTCAAACCGTCTATATAACAAAGAAAAACTGGTATTGTAAATATTAAAACATCACCCATTATTTCTTATAAACAAAAACAGTATTAGTTTTAATTTGACAACCTATTGTCTAATCAAAGTCATCTGTCTTGACACTAGGCTCTCAGTGAGAAATTTTTTCCCCAAAACATAAACATTTATTGACGATCTGTTCTTAAATGTTTGTGACATTTTTAAAACTGAAATCATATCAGTAAGGTCACAAACTACGGAGATTTTCATCATGTCAAATACTTCTGTTTTTGGTGTTTTGTTTTTTTTTTTTTTTTTTTTTAAAAAAACTCAAGTATATAACTGGGTTTATATAATAAAAAAAATTTATGTTTTATTTAAGTAGTTAAACAATTAAAACAGAAACACTAACCTTGCTAAGTGATTCTTGCTTTCCTTTGGTCTCCAAAGCAGTTTCTTGAAACACAAAATAAGAAAATTTTTCATGAAACAGAACATGCAAATAATATTCATTTAAGTATGACCCTATTACTGTAATATACATGTACAGAAATGAATAACACAATTATCATATTTCCTGAAATTTTATATTTCTTTCTACTCACAGACATAAAAGGATAAAATAAAATTTTTATTGACCTACCTGAAATTGTTTCTTTAACATTGTTTTCAGCAGCTTTGGCTGCCACACTGGTCTGTATTTCAGAATTTTCTGCATGAAATAGTCTGCTTTAATAGTCTAGAAAAGTATGCTATGCTAATTAAAATAATAAATCTAAATAGGAACTTAAGTTGGCTTACTTTATCATTTATACTTAAACCAATACAAAGTCAATACAATTTCTCTTTGAAAACCAAAAAAAATCCCTTTCAAGGATATCTAATAAGAATTTCAAAATGTACCCCAATCAAGTAAGTGTATAGCAAAAGAAAGATGTGAATAGTAACATTTCAAGCTTACCTGGGACAGTCACAGGTTTATTGGAGTCTTTGTTTTTGACATTGGCAGACTTTTTTACTTCTAGAGACTTCTTTCCAATAGATTTTCCTTTAAAAAATAGAATTACAACATTATTCCAAAAATATATTCAGTCATTTAGCATGTTCCATACTAGTGTATTAACACAGAGCTCAACTTTATTGTATGAGTAGTTTTTTATTACTTTTATTAAGTCACAATTTTTAATTACTCATCATGTAACAGTAATGTATCACAAACACATACACAATCATATTTTATTAATTGCTGAGAATATTCTTATAGCTGGTTGCAGGAAGATATTCATAAAGAGATCATGTCAGTTTCAACATGCTACATGTACTTTAAATAGTGGTCCATTTATTTCTGGATAAAACATATGACGAAGAACCCTTTTGAATAAAAGTAACATCATGAATTCTATCAGCTGGAGAAGGAAAAAAGAGCACTTCTTTAAAACAAGGAAAACAAAGATTAAGAGATTTTTAGAAGCAAAATGGCAGAACGGCCTATGAAATTACAGAGCTGTCTAAAAATGTTTTCTGGCTATGATAAAGTACAAAAACGTACCTGTAATGAAAATGTTGTACAAGACCAAAGAATCTCTTTCACAAAAAAATCCCATACATGTCAAGTTTTCAAGTTTAAGGCAGAATGAAAGATAAACTTAATAAAAACTTAACAATCTTACCCGTTTTGATTGAAGTTTTATTACCTTTAGTAGCTACTGAAACAGAGCTTGCCGATTTCCCTAAATCACAAAAGTTGTGATCAAAACTAGCTTACCTAGTATCTCATAAAGAATCCTCACAAAATCTCATAAAGAAGGAATATGAAGGCCACAGATTGTATCTTATTAAAAAACATATAAAATGCTATCTTCTTTGAGAGTACAGGCCATTTCCTAAATCTAGTATCGATGATCATTTCTTCAGGAAGAAAATATCACTGAAATAAAAAATCTTCAATGGGGTTTTAAAAATATCATGTTCTGACAAGTTAAATGTATCTTTGAATATGTGGATCAACTAGAAGCAAAAATATTAATTTCAAGGGCATAAAAACAATTGGGTTCTACTTTTAATGGCTTGATTCCTTGATTCTGAGTAATTAAAAACCATTCAGTAATACTTGTATCAATGGTCAAAACACATGGATAGTGTTTTAACTCACTGCGATACAGTCCTATCTGTATTGTTCTTGTTATGGTGCTGTTGAGTTGGTTCTGATTCAGCAACTTTGCATAGTTTCTGAGGAGCAGTAGGTGGGTTTGAACGGCTGATCTTATGGTTAAGGAGTCCACTGTTTATCCTACAGCACCACACCAGGACTCCTTTTAACTATATGAAAATTCCGGAGCTGCCATCAAGAACAGTGTTATTTGTTGCCAGTTCAATACTATATTCTTTACAATGTTGTAGGTCAAATAATTCACTGATCTCTATTCACATAAAAACATGACAGAATTATCCAGCATTTAACAGAAATTAAAAGTAAAATTGAAAAGGAGATTACAGATAAGTGCTAGGGGAAAAAGTAAATTAGGTAGTTTCGTTAAAACTCATTGTAGTTTAAAAACTGCACAACGAACTTGAGTTTACTAAGTTTGGTATCTGGGCTATTGTGCAAAAGAAAATAAAGTGACATCAATAAAAGGGAAGGTGTGACATATCTGATATTCTTATTCATAAATCGTTTTATGCAATTAGATGTAGTGGTTTTCACAGTTAAATTATATAGTTACTAAATCTCATTTTAAACACTTCTGGGTACTATAAATTTCTGCCAGTGTAGGATAAGCACTGGATTGTTAACCACAAAGTTGGCATTTCAAATCCACCAGTCACTCCTTGAAACCCTATACAGGGTTGTTATGAGTCAGTTCCTACAGGACACACCAGGACCCTAAAATACCATTCCCATTGCTGTTAAGTGCGGTTGAGTTGGTTCCAACTCATAGTTACCTTGTGTAGGAGTGGCTGGGGAGCTGGAGCCGCTGACCCTGCAGTCCAGCGCCTTAAACCGCAGCGCAACTCCAGGACTCCAAAATACTATTACTATATGCTTCTAATGAAGTGAGTCTAGAAGGGGCACTTGTGGTATGCAGGGTAGGTAACACACTGGGCTGCTGGCAACAAGATCAGCAGTAGAAATCCACTACCTATCTCATGGAAGAAGGATGTGCCTTTTTGCTCCCATCTGGATTTATAGCCCAGGAAATCCTATAAAAGGTTGCTAAGAATCAGAACCTACTTGATGGCACAACATGTCAAAAATTCTAATTAAAAACATTACCTGAAGGTTTATTCACTTTGGTTGATGTCTTGGTTTGTCCACTTTTGGCTACAATCACAGGAAAATATATCAATGAGCATTACAAAAAACACCATTTATCATTAAGGAAAAGTTAACCCAATAATAGTTTTGAAGTCATCATTCAGAAGTTCATGAATATTTGCTCTTACTTACATAGAAAGCTGCTATAAACATCTTTTTATGCCCATGCAAAGATATTGTAGAATAAATATTAGACACAGACTTGTTACGTAAAAAGGGATGTAGATTTAAAATTAATGATTATCATCACGTTGTTCCCAAGAAAGGGCTGTATAGTTAGTTATAAGTTGGGCTGCTATCCACGTCAGCAGTTCGAATCTATCAAATGCTCCGGAAAAAAAATGAGGCTTTCTGCTCCTGAAAAGATTTACAGCCTAAAAACCCTATAAGGGGTTGCTATGAATCAGAAATGACTCATGGCACCCAACTACAACCGTGTATCTTTATTTCCAAAATATAATTAAAAATAAAAAATTATGTTGAAAAGTAACAAAAATAAAATAAACCTAGATACTTTCATTTCAGTGACATTCTCTACTTGTGACTACATAGTAAAATATTCTTTTCAAACATATTTTGTCAAAAAAATTTCCCATATTCTTCCTCCTTACTAGAATACATATACATTTATCTTTGTTTTAATTATTGTTGCTGTTGTTAGGTGCCATTCATAGAAACCCTATGAACAACAAAATGAAACACTGCCTGGTCCTGAGTCATCTTCACAACTGTTATGCTGGAGGCCATCGAGTGGTGGATGGGTATATGCTGTAGAGTCAATTCAGACTCATAGTGACGCTGCATGGGTTTCTGAACCCATAAATCTTTTTGGGAGCAGAAAGCCTCAGCTTTCTTCCACGGAACCACTAGCAGTTTCAAACGGCTGACCTTGAGATTATTAGCAGCCTAACCACTATATGCTACCAGAGCTCCAAATATTTTTGCTTTGTTCACATTTGTGAAATAAAAGCTGTAAATGGAAGCCACAGGGATGAAGAAACAGGATGACTGCTGTTGCAACAAGGGGATTGTGATAATATCATGTATGTTTTGTTGAATGCAAAGGTGGTATCTTGTCTGTGAACCTTCACTCAATAAACAAATAAAAAGTGCAAAAAAATAATAATAATTAGACATATTGCCCCCTAGAAGTTATCTGTAATTAATTCTAATTCCCAATAACCTCAGTATACATACCAACTACACATTACAGGAAAAAGAAGTATTCGATATAATTTAATTTTCAAGTCATTTGAGTATTTCAGTTGTAATACCTAAATTCTAAATTTAAATGTAAATCCTAAATACTACACATGGTGGTAGTGGTGATGTGCCATGGAGTAGTGTGTGACTCATAGTGGTTCTGTAAAAGATTTCTGAGGCTGTGAATCTTTATGGAAGCAAAAAGCCTTGTCTTTCTCTCGTGGAACAGCTGGTAGTTTTGAACTGCTGAGGTTGAGGTTAGCAGTCTAATTTGTAACCACTATGCTACCAGAGCTCCTTAAAAATACTACACATATCCCTCCCAAAAAGAGAACATAAACAACTAAAGTTTGAATTTTTATGTCCACTTTAATTTTATTTTCTGAATTTTACTTTAGTATCAAGTTGTTTAGTCTTACTAGTTATAAAAGTGTATGTTGTGGCAGTAACTTTTCTCTAAGAATCCTGGTGACACTATGGTTTAGGTGTTTAGCAGTTAACCGCAAGGTTAACCTAACCGCAAGGTTGGCAACTAAAAGCCATCAGCTACTTTGTGGGAGAAAGATGAGGTTGACTGCAGCTGAAAAGATACAGTTCTGGAAACCCTGTAGAGCGAACCACTATGAGTCCCCATCAACTCAACAGCAGTGGGTTTGGTTTTCATTCTCTTTACTTTATAAATCCTAATTGGATATAAAGCAGATAATCCAGTTTACCAACAATGCAAACAAAATGCCTTAAGATTCAGAAAAAAGATATAATTTTTGAGCAAAGAAACAATTTTTACTATATAAATTTAATATCTGTGTAATGTTTTATGCTTACTTTTCTCTCTCAGCTGTCAGAATCAAAAGGAACTAAATAAGTGATAACAACACACTTTTAATGTTTTATCTTGTGGATTTATTGGAAAGGGTTGGGAAGAGGTGCAGTAAAATGAACTTAAATACCTAATAAATGGTATTTAAAATCTATGAACTGTGATGGGCACTTTATACACATTATCTTAACAGTTCATAAAATATTTATTAAAGAAGAGACTCCATAATTACACAATATTAAATAGTAACTACAGGGTCACTATGAGTAGGAAACAACTTGACGGCACTAACAACAACAACTTGGTTCATACAGATGCCTATTTTACTGTTGTTAAATACGTTTATTTGCCACATCACCAAAGACCAAGAAATGACTAACAATCACATTAAAATCTACAAATACGATTAGCAACTAAATACAAATCAAAATCATAATGAGGCTATCACTTCACACCCACTAAATTAGCTATCATCAAAAGGTCATAAACCAACAGGTTTTGATGAGAATAAAGAAAAATGAGAACCCTCGTCTTTTGCTGATGTGACTGTAAAATGGTACAACTACCTTGGAAAACTATAGTCTGTCTATGAAGAAAAACGTGGCATCAAGATTGGAGGAAGACACATTAACAACCTGCGAAATGCAGATGATACAACCTTGCTTGCTGAAAATGAAGAGGACTTAAAACATTTACTGAAGAAGATCAAAGAGCACAGCTGTCAGTATGGATTACATCTCAATGTCAAAAAAACAAAAATCCTCATCAATGGACCAATAAACAACATTCTTATCAAAGGAGAAAAGGTTGACGTTGTCAAGGACTTCATTCTTCTTGAATCAACTATCAACACTCATGGAAGCAGCAGTCAAGAGATCAGACGACGTACTGCATTAGACAAATCTGCACAGAGAACTTTTTTTTTTTTTTTTTTAATGAACATCAGAACAAAAGTTTATTGAAACTAATGTCCATGATTGTATAAATTTACTTTTTTAAAGGTAGGTACCATGTATATAAGCGAGAACATCTGTATTCTGCAACACTTAACGTCTTTCTAAATGTGCGTGCCTGGTTCTAGTTAGTAGGGTAAGAGAAACTGGACTGAAGAGGCATTATCAGTTTCAAAGGAAAATTACTAAATGCTAGGCAATATGCTTTCTTCAAAAACAATACTTTTTCTTTTTTTTAACAATGTCAATTTGACTTTTTGTAGGTAGGCACAGGTTTGGCTGAAAGGCTTTAATATCTACAGAAAACGTCAGATAAAGTATTTCCACCAGTAGTTAGCTTTCTCGGGAATCTAATATGTATAAAAAGTATGTGGTAATTGGGTGAACGATGACATAAAGAGGATCCTGGATTCTCAGAGGGGGGCACAGGCAACAATGGGCACCCTTCACATCGGGAGGTGGGGAGGTTACAGCATTGTCAACATTTCTTTTCAGCCTAAATGCTCCTTGACTCAGATTTGAAGTTTTTACTTGGTACCATTTTGGTATAGCACTGTGGGGTTGACGTTTAAACTGTAAGGTTGGCAGTTCAAGCTTACCAGCTACGCCTTGGAATATGAGGTTGCTGGGGGTCAGAACCAACTCAGTGGCACTTAACAGCCATCATCTGGAGGTAGGAGGAGGAAGAATTCTTCATAAAACAGTAGTATGGTTACAGGACACAGGTCTGTCTTTCAAAATCTCTTTAAGATTTTACATTTAATTTAATGTTACATGCTGTGGAGTCGGTTCCAACCCATAGCTACCTTGTATAGGGTTTCCTAGGAAGGACTGGTAGCTTGAACTGCCGACCTTACAATTCAAACAAACTTTGCAGTCCAGTACATTAACCCATATGCACAGGAACTTTTTAAACTGTTGAAGAGCAAAGATGTCAAAACTTGAGGGTACGCCTGACCCAAGTCATGGTATTTTCAATAACCTCATATGCATGTAAAAGCTGGACAGTGAATAAGGAACACTGTAGAAGAATTGACGCCTTTGAATTATGATGTGGAGAATACTAAAATTGCCATGGGCTGCCAAAAGAACCAATAGATCTGTTTTGGACAAAGTGCAGCCAGAGTGCTCCTTAGAAGCCAACATGGCCAAATTTTACCTCTCATACTTCGGACATATTGTCAGGAAGGAACAGTCACTGGAGAAAGACATCATGTTTGGTAAGATGGAGGGTCAGAGACAAAGAGGAAGACCCCCAACGTGATGGACTGGCCAGGTGGCAGTATCGATGGACTCAAGTGTGACAACAGTAGTGAGGCTGGCCCAGGATCGGGCAGTGTTTTATTCTGCTGTGCATAAGGTCGCTACCAACTCGATGGCACCTATCAACAACAACTATGAAAAACAGTATGCTAATTCCAGAGTTATCATATGGATTCAGCAATCCCAGTCCCAGGTATATACTCACAAAATTGAAAGCAGGAGTGCAAAGAAATACTTGCACACCAATGTCTACTACATACTATTCACTATAGTCAAAAGGAGGAACCACTCTAAACAATTTAAACAAAATGTGGTTGATATCGTTAAATGACACTTGAGTGGTTCCAATTCATGGCAACCCTATATATGAAGTTTCTGAGGAGCAGCTGGTGAGTCTGAACTGCTGATCTTGCAATTCAAACCAACTTTGAGGTCTAGTATTTACTTACCCTGCAGTGCCACACCAGGACATACACACAGTATTTATTACTTGGCCATAAAGAATAATAGGATCCCAATGCAAGCTAAAACATGATTAAATCTTGAAAATAATATGCTGAGCTCAGTAACTCAGTCAAAAGGTAGTAAATATTTTATTGTTCCACTTATGCAAATATGCAAGACCGCCAAGTGTAGAAACCAAACTCTTAGTGGCTATCAAGGGCATCTGGGAGGGAGGGGAAGGGCTCACACTGCTTAGGTGACACTGAGTTTCTTTTACCGGCAATGGAGAAATTTGGAAAAAAAGACAGCAGTAATAACTGAACAACATGGAAAACATAGTGCAGCACATTGGATTACTTTATATGGCTGTTCTACCCAGAATCCTTGTAACTCTCACCAAACATCATTTTCCTAATGGCTCTGGGTAAATAACGGTGGGAAAAGCTAATGATAGTATGATGTTCAGTTGTGATGACAAAATAGTTCATTGTGACTATAAAAACTTGGAACTCTAAAATGGTTTTAAAAATAAACCATCTCAAAAAGCTAAAGTGGATAGAGAGAAATACTGTTATCTGATGGTACATGGAGGGGATTATAATCAACATAATGAAACAAGGTATATGATTTGCTGAATGTAAAACTGATTATGTCCTGTAAACTTACACTCAATCAACAATAAAAACCTTAAAATAAATTTTAAAAATAATAAATAAATAAATCATCTCAAAAACAGGAATGATGATCTCAATATCAACAAAGAAACAGGAGTGGAGTGCAGCTGTGGCCTCTGAGATCCCTGTGTACCGAACCTCCTCAAACTAAGGACAGAAAAGTGTGACACTGGAAGAGTGGTAGAGAAGCAGCAGAACCAAACCCAGACTATAAGACAGAGCAGTGGGCTTCCCAACTCACAGAAAAAGTAAGCTGAATGACTTTGGGCAGAAAGCTTGCTTGATTACAGAGGAGGGTGCCTCCAAGCACTTAACTGAAGCTATAGTATCTGACATAGGAAGTTAGAGTCAACTGTCTTTAAGAGTATGGTGAAGCAGTGTGCCCTGGGAGGATTTATCAGCAACCCAAAAGACGTTTGTAACATTATTAACCAGGAAGAAGTCCAGGCAAAGGGGCAGAGAGGGCTGCCTGTGGACACAGACAGGAGAGGCTGTGCTGACCGTTGACCATTTCTGATCTTAAAATGTTGTTAGGTGCTGTGGAGTCGATTAGGGCCCACAGCAACCCTATGTACAACAGACCAGAACACTGCCCGGTCCTGCACCATTCTCACAATTGCTGCTACACTTCAGTCCATTCTTGCTGCCACTGCATACTACACCTGACAATATTCTGGTGCTATTCATCATGCTTCAATACTATGATGCTATTTGACAGTGTTTCACTGCTATTCATAAGGTTATCAGTGGATATACAGTCAGACTCTCTTTCACCCACCCAAGTTGGGTCTTAGTCTGGAAGCTCAGCTGAAACCTGTTCACCATGGGTGACCCTGCCAACATTCAAAATTACCAATGGCACAGAGTTTCCAACGACGGTGAATTATATCCTTTTAACTTATCTAAAAAACCCCTAACTATGAGTATGGTGTCTGAGTTCTGTATGGCCAATGCAATAAATCACGGAACCCAGCTGAAGAGCAGGGACTGCCGTGGGAGAAATGGTGGAGTCATTCTTTGTACATAAATAAAGTCACTATTTCATACATATGAAAACTGTTAAAAGTCAAAACAATCTGTTACATATGTATATTTACAATAAAAACAGGAAAAAAATAAACATGTATGTAACTCATATAGAAAAGAGTGTAAAGTGACTTACCACCAGTGGAAGATGAAGGAACATTTTCAGCTGCTTTTGAGGAATCTGTATCTTTTCTATCAGAAAGAAAAAAAAAAATTCAGCAAAGACTTAGAAATTCTAAACTCCATAAACTTCTAGAAATGTAATGTTTAAATCTAAGTTTAAACCATTTCAATTTGAGCAATAACACATTTAAACTGTAAAGATAAAGTACAATTTTAATAATTTAAAATTTGTCTATTTCATGACATTCACTCCCACATACGAAGTCACTTACTTTAAACTAGATGTGGACGTTTTCTTTGAATCCGAAGTCTTTTTCTTCACCTCTTTGTTCTATAAGGAATATTTGTTTGAACCAAAAATTAAGATTCTTAACAATTATAAAAAAATTAAGTTTAGAAAATGCAGAAAAGCCCACAGAATCAAAAAAATACCTAATTATAAACATATAAAAGCTTATTTTTCTATTATAATGAAACAATAAAAACATTCCATTTTTAGCATGATTTTACATCTTGCTTTCACTACACATCTGTATTTTATCATTAACTATATTCAAACGACTTATTGCATTATGCAAATCTGCAAAAGACTCCTTTAAAGTGTTAACAGGGTAGGCAATATACAACAAGTAGGAGGAATAAAGAAGACACATGGACTAATGTAGTAATTAAGATGAATAGAGTTCGATACTGTTAACTGCTGGTACATGGAGGGTACCTGAAATTATAACAAAGCAAAGTATAAGATTTGTTGAATATAAAATTCATGGTCTGCTGTGTAAACTTCACTCAATTCATAATAAAATGTTAAAAAGAAGAAATATTATTTCTAACATGTCTGTCATTTCATATATATTACTGCTAACACCCAGCCCAGTCTTTTCCTTTAATTGTGACAATAGCCTCCACATGCCATTTTCCCTTGTTTCTTTCTATCCTTGTCATTTCATACCAATCTATTCTAAAGAGAAATTAATTTTGTCACTCCTAAACTCAAACCATCCATTACTCACAAAGAAAAGGCCAACACTTAAAATGGACTAGAAGACATTACATCATCATAAACTTTACACTAACAGGTATATGCAACAATGATCATCACAGCACTATTCGACATAGCAAAAAGATGGAAACAATGTAAGTGTGCATCAACAGGTAAATGCATAAAGAAATGATGGTATACACGAATAATGAAGTATATCAAATCTATATATATTTGTGGGTGAAGAACCTTTCACCTTCTTGTACCTTTTTTAACTTGCATATCTACGTCTAGATTGTTACTATTACTGCATGACTGTGTATGTGAAGCAGTATTCACCTCTGCTGTTTTTGAGACTATTTCTACATGTGTAGTTACTTCATATTATTTGGATCCATATTCATATTTGGATCCATAATCAACACTCACGAAAGTAACAATCCAGAAGTCAAAGGACTTATTGAATTATGGAAATCTGTCGCAAATGACATCTTTAGTGTTCAAGAACAAAGAAAACACTTTGAGGACTAAGGTGCTCCTGGACCCAAGCCATGGTATTTTCAATTGCCTCATATAGATGTGATAGGTAGAAAAGGAATAAATAAAGATTGAAGAAAAACCAGTGCATTTAAATTACAGTGTTGCAGTGTTCTGTGTGTAGATACATGGACAGTGACACATGCTGAATGGGTATGGGAGGAAAAATGGGATATATTTTTAAGTCCCACAAATACATAAGAGCTTGAAAGAGGATTGGTCCATGGGTAGCCACAGACAGAAAGTGGGATAAGTGTTGTTGCAGGAAGGGGACTGAAATCATTGAGATGAAATAAAGCATATGGATTGTTGAATGTAAAACTGATAATCCTGTTCACTCAAATTACAATAAAAATTGAATAATGTAAATTATGGTGTTGGAGAAAAATATTGGAAGTATCATGAGACTGTCAAAAGCACAACCAAATTTTGTCTTAGAAGAAATATATAGGAATGCTCCCCTAGAAGTGAGGATGGCAAGGCTTCATCTCTCCTACTTTGGATATATTATCAAAAGGGAACAGTCCATGGAGAAGGATATCATAGGAAAAGCAGAGGGTCAGCGAAATAGAGAAAGATCTGCAAGATGGACTGACACGGTGGAACCAAAACTGGACCCAAAAGTTAACAATTGTAAGGATGGCTCATGACTGGACGGTGTTTCATTCCATTGTGCATATTGCTGTTATTAGGTGCTATCGACTCAGTTCTTAGTCATACCAACGCCATGCACAACTAAACAAAACACTACCCAATCCTGTGTCACCAACCTCACAACTGTTGCTACACTACAGTCCAATGTTGTTGCCACTTGGCCAATCCATCTCTGAAAAGGAAGAGGTAGGGTGGAAATATTCCTTGTTTTCACTGACCCTCCATTATATCAAGCAAGATGTCCCTCTCCAGGAACCGGTCCACCTGATAACATGAAAATACCATGGACTACTTAAGGTGCACCTCAGTCCTCAAACTGAGTTCTTTGCTCTTGAACACTTTAAAGAGGTCTTGTGCAACAGATCTGCATAACGCAATCTGTCATTTGATTTCTTGACTGCTGTTTCCGTAAGGGTTGATAGCGGAATCAAGCGTAATAGTCTTCAATCTTTTCTCCATTTACCATGTTATTTTTCAGTGGTGAGAATTTTTGCTTTCTTTACACGGAGGTGCAAGCTAACCCATTTTGAAAGCTGTGGTCTTTGATCATCATCAGTATTTTAAATCCTCTTGAATTTCAACAAGCAAGGTTGTATCATCTGCATATGTAAGATTGTTAATGAATCTTCCTGAGGCCAAGTTCTGCTTCATGTAATCCATCTTCTCGGATTATGTGTTCTCATACAGACTGAATTAATATGGTCAAAGAATATAACACAGGTACTCATTTTTTCCTAATTTTAAGCCATTCAGTGTCCTCTAGTTCTGTTCAAACGATTGCCTCTGGTCCATGTACAGGTTCCTTACCAGTACAAATAAGCACATTCTTTGTTATGCTAGTCATAACTTGTCATGATCGACACAGACAAAAGCCTTTGCATAGTCAATAAAGCACAGATAAATATCTTTCTGCTATTCTCTGCTTTCAGTCAAGATCCCTGTCTATCCTCAGCAATGATATCCCTAGTTCCACATCCTTGTCTTGAGTCTGGACTGAACCGCTGGCAGCTCCCTGTCAATGTACTATTGTAGCCATTTTTGAATTAACGTTTGAAAAATTTTACTTGCATGTGATATAAATTATATTGTCCAATGATTTCCACATTCAGTTGGGTCACCTCTCTTTGGAATTGGTAACAAATAAGGACCTCTTCCTATCGGTTGGCCAGGTAGCAGTCATCCAAATTTCTTGGCATAGATGAGTGAATGCCTGCAGTGTTGCATCAGTTTGTTTTAAGATTTCAATTTGTATTCCATCAATTCCCTGAGCCTTGTTCTTTCCAATGCTCTCAGTGCATTATTGAATTCTTTGTTCAAGTATCATTGCCGCTTGATCATATGTTTTTTAAAATGGTGGCCATTAACCATTTATTTATGGTACAGTGACTATGTATTCCTTCCAACTTCTTTTGGTGTTCAATAGGATCATTCAATATTTTGTCCACAGAATTCTTCAATATTTCAAGTTGACACTTGAATTTTCTCTTCAGTTCTTTCAGCTTGAGAAATGCTCAGTGTGTTCTTCCCTTTTGGTTTTCTAACTCCAGGTCTTTGTACATTACGATATTTGACTTTGACTTCTGGAGCTGCCCTCTGAAATTTTCTGTTCAGATCTTTTACTTCCTCATTTCTTCCATTTGTTTTAGCATTTCTACCTCAGAGAGTACATTTCAGTCTCTTCTGACATCCATTTTAGTCTGTCTTCTTAAAGATCTTTTTCGTTTCTTCCTCCATGATGTTCTTGATATCATCCCACAACTCTTCTAGTCTTCAGTCATTAGTATCGAATGCATCAAATCTGTTCTTGAGATAATCTCTAAATTTAGGTGTGATGTGTACAAGGTCCTGTTTTGGCTATCATTTTCTTCAGCTTCAGCCCGAACTTGTACATGATGTTCTTTTTCACAGTCAGCCCCTGGCTTTGTTTTGAATGGCACTGAGCTTCTCCTCTGTCTCTTCGCACACACGTAATCAATTTGGTTTTAAGTACTCTATTTGGTGAGGTCCAAGTGTATAATCATCTTTTATTGTTGTTCAAAAAAGGTATTTGCAATGAAGAAGTCATTGGTCTTGCAAAATCCTACCCATGTCATCTCCAACATCAGTTTTATCATCAAGGCCATAGTTTCCAACTACTGATGTTTCCTTTTTGTTTCTAACCTTTGCATTCTAATCACCAATAGTTATTAATACATCTTGATTTCATGTTTGATCAATTTCAGACTGAAGGAGTGGGTAAAATTCTTCAATTTCATTATCACTGGCTTTAGTGGCGAGTGTGTAAACTTGAGCAATAGTAATATTAACTGGACTTTCCTTGTAACCATATGGATATTATCCTATCACAATCATGTACTTCAAGACAGATCTTCATATGTACTTTTTGATTATGAATGTGAAGCCATTCCTCTTCAATCTGTCCTTCCTGGCATAGTAATCCATATGATTACCCTATCAGGAAATGAAGGTCACAAAAGCTTTATTCCATTTGTGTCCTCACAGGCAGCTTTTCCCCAGGCATATTTTAGAGTGCCTTCCAACCTGAGTAGCTCATCTTCTGACACTAACTGATAGTATTACAGCAGTATTTATAATATTTTCATTCTTCAGAACTGTATCTGACAATGTTCTACTGCTCTTCATAAGGTTTTCAGTGGCTAAACATTCAGGAAGTAGTCTGCTTATCCTTCTTCCTAATCAGACTAGTATGGAAGTTCAGCTGATACCTGTTCACCATGGGTGATCCTGCTGGTATTTAAAGTACTGGTAGTATAGCTTCCAACATTACAGCAACACACAAGCCACCAGACTATGACAACCTGACAATGGTGATATGGTAAATACAAGTTATATGCGCTATATAGATAAATCCATTAAGTATGGGTAGAGTACAGGGGACAAAATGATGAAAACTTTTTAGTAAAACCAAACACCTTAAGGGGATAAGACATTGGGCCTGGTGGCTTAGGAGCATAGTCTCGGGGACATCATGGTTACTTGGCATAATATAGTCGACAAAGACAGTATTTCTAAATTCTACTATAGTGAAAAGAAACTGGAGTTCCCCTTCTGAGGCAAAGGAGAGTGCAAAAAACAAAAACTGTTTGGAAACAATTAGAGCAAAGGGTAAATTGACCAAGACCTCCAGTCGCCATGAGCCTGAGACCAGAAAAGAAGGAAAAACGAAAATGCTACATACAGGGAAGAAGTTCGAAGAGTACTTTTACACTGTGGGAATTCCAATGAATGTTACAAATTTGTATGACTTTTTTAATGAAATACCAATTTGCACTGTAAAATTTCACTGAAAAGGTGATGGATTCTTCCTGCCAACTTTTGAAACCCCCTTGTATTTAATAATATTATGTGATTACATAGTGACTGTAGTAACAGAAATCAAATTAGGGGTTACATATGGGGAGGAGGGTGTTAAGGATTGAAAATAAGCATGCAAGGGGCATGTTGTCATGTTCTACTATATATGATAAAGGAGCTCTTCCTGCTATGGTTAAGCAGTCAGTTGTTAACTGAAAGATACGCAGGTACAAATCCACCAGCCAGACCATGGGAGAAAGATGTGAGTCCACTCCCATAAAGATTTAAAATCTTGGAAATCCTATGGGCCAGCTCTGTTCTGTCTTACAGGGTCACAATAAATTGGAATCAACTCAACATCAGTGTCTACTCCAAATCTGTTGACTGCCATTTAATATTGTGGGTGGTATATCTGCTCCTGTAAAAATTTACAGCCTCGGAAACCCTGTTCAGGGTCACTATGGGTTGGAACCGACTCGATGGCACTTGAACAACAACAACAACATCTGCTTCAATATTAGTGTGTTTGAATTTATACATTCGGTCTCTGGTGAGCTAACATATTTATGTTTTATATACTTTACAGTGTTAACACTTAACAAAAGCTCATCAAATCATCAATAACAATAAACCAACCAGTATCTAAAAATCCAGTTTACCTGTGATTTTTTCTTCCCTGGTACACGTATTTTCACACGTTTTCCTTTTATCACTAGAGGTGTTCTTTCAACATACTTGAAGACTGTAGTAACTGAATCTTTAAATTCCATTTCTAAGTAAGCCTAAAATAAACAACAAATTTATTCCTTTTTATTCCAAAACCCACCATTAAAATTCTAGGCATTTTACAGAAATAAAACAAAAATCTCCTGTTTTAATGAATTTAACACCATCCTTATTGATCATAGAGTATGAAATTGCCTCAAATCCTATGTGCTTTTGCCTCTGTCTTTTTGATTTGTTTAAATATACTCATTTCATTTTGTTTGTTTTTGTGTAAGTTTTTTGTGTGAATTAAGTGACACTTTTACATGGGAGAACTCATCATTACATTGTAATTATTACAATCTCTTCTGCGCATCATCACAATTTCACAGTCATCGTTTCATTGCAATGATTACAATCTCCTCTGGCATCATCATTCAACAGTATTTGCTTCTATTCCCTCTATTTTTTTCTCTCTTTTTGTGGAGGCATCAATGTACAAAAAAACCCACTTAGGAATATATAATCATTTAAACAACCAAAGGGCACATTCTGCAAGCCTGCCTACTGGCTGCCAGCACACAGCCTTTCTCTTTCCATGAGTCTAGAGTCCTCAGTTGCTCTATCTCTCTATGTCATCATCTCTGCCTCCATTTCTGGTGTCACTGCTTCTCTAATTAGGATCCCATGTCTTGCTCATGCTCTTCTTCTTGATGATCCTAGGATCCTCTGTTCTTGGACTTGCCTTTGTCTTTTCAAGTGTAATCTGGTCTTTAGGATGTTATCACACGTTTTGGACATTTAACCTTGTCTTAACCTTTTATGATTTGTATAACTTTACATAGATAAAAATAGACATATAGGCTCATGATCCAAGAAGAAATGCGATGGCAGGGCTCATAAAACAAAAGGAAAGTTAGGATCAAGACTACCTTACTTAATGAATTAAACACTGCCCAGTCCTGCGCCCCAACCTCACAATCGTTGCTACATTTGAGCCCTTTATTACTGCCACTGTGCCACCACTCAATCTCATTTGCGTCTTCCTCTTTTTCTCAGACCCTGTATTTTACCAAACATGATATCCTCCTCCAGGGACTGGTCCCTCCTGACACTATGACAAAGCATGCAAGACGAAGTCTGGCCATCCTGGCTTCTGGGGAGCATTCTATCTGTACTTCTAATGTTCTCCTCCAACACTAAAGCTCAAATGCACCAATTCTTCTACAGTCTTCCTTATTGACTGTCCACAACTTTCACATGCATGTGACATAACTAAAAAATCCATGGGTTGGTCAGGTGCACCTGAGTCCTCAAACTGGTATCTTTGCTCTTCAACACTTTAAAGTGGTGTAGCAGGTTTGCCTAATGAAATGTATCATTTGGTTTCTTGACTGCACTATATCTGACAATATTCTGGTGCTAAGTATCCCAGTTATTCATAGGTTTACAATGACTAAATATTCCGAAGTAGTCTTGTCTTCGTCTGGAAGCTCATCTGAAACCTGTCTACCATGGGTGACCCTGCTGGTATTTAAAACACCCGTAGCACATATTTTAGAATTACAGCAATACACAAGCCATCACAGTACGACAAAAAGTGGTAGCTGCTTTGTTTAGGGTTAAGATTTTGATGACTATAATCCACAAGCAAATAAATAATGGTGTGGCACTGTGGGTTAATGCACCAGACTGAAAAGTCATTTGAACTCCAAGGTCGGCTATTCGAGCTCACCAGCTGCTCCTCGGAAAACCCTATACAGGGTCGCTATGGGTCGGAGCCGATTTGACGGCACTTAACAACCACAACATACAAATAAGAAAAAGTCATTGTGGCTGTGTGTGTTAAACTGTAAAGTCATTAGTTTAAACCCACCAGCCAGCTACTCTGTGGGTTAAGAGCTGAGGAGCTAACTGCAAGACTGGTGGTTTAAGTCCACTAGTCAACTCTAGTGGAAAAAGATTAGGCTGTCTGTCTACTATCATAATGATTTATAGTCTCATATGCTAACTTGATGATGGAGAAGGCAACATACAAGAGGGAGGTTGGCAGATGAATGATGAAGAAAAGTGAAGACACAGGAAGGAATGCAAATAAGTATCGTTATATATACAATCCTGCAATAATAGGCAGATATATGGATAGATATACATGTTGAACAAGTGTGGGTGGGAGAATTGGAGTACAGGCACAAATACATAAAAGTTTGACAAAGGATATTTGTACATGGGTTTTTACCTTTACTGCAAACACACCTATGAATATAGTGGAGCATACAAAGACAAAATTATGTAAACTTCTTAGACATTCACAAACACCTTGATGTCATGAGTTCCTAGACCTACTGGTTCAGGACCATAGTCCCAGGAGACACCATGGTCAACTATCACAGCATAGGTCCTATTTTGGTGAGTAGCGGTCGTAATCTTTTTAAAAGCTTATGAGTGGCCATCTAAGGTGCAATATTGGTCTCTCCTTGTGTGAAGAAAGAAGACTGATGAAAATTGAAGACAAATGGAAACATGTGACTATCAGTCTCCATGACTCTAAGACCAGAAAAACTAGGTAGTACCAGGCTACCACTACCAACTGCTCTGAAAGTAATCACATTAGAAGGTCCTGTATAGAATGGGAGGAAATGTGGAATAAAATTCAAAATTAAAAAAAGACCAGGATTACTGTGCAGAAAGAGACTGGAAGAACCCGAGACTGTGGTCCTTGGTCACTCTTTAGGTCTAGAACTAAACTCACACTAAGACCAATTTAAAACCAAGTGGTACACAGATATATGGTGATGGTGGTGGTGGTGGTGGGGGGGAAGGACAAGTAAGGTATGCTCATCATGAAATGGTCAACTATTTTAAGGTTAAAGGGCAACGTTTACTTAAGGACAAAGTACAGGTTTGGGAAGAAAGGTGGAATGAAAATTATAACCACATGGAGGAAGTGGGATAACTGGTGCTATATGGAGGGAATTGTAATCACTGATATGAAACGAAGTGTATAATTTGTTGAATGTAAAAGTGATGAACTATTCAGTAGACTTTCACTCAATCCATAATAAACTTTTATAAAAAGATTTACAGGCTCGAATACAAGACTGGCACCTAAGTGCTCTGGCATTAAGTTTTGTCTTGTTTCTTAAAGTACAAATGAAACTACTTTTTCTTTTATAACCTGTATGGCATTCTAGAACAGGGATAGGAAAACTGTGGCTTACACCTACCTGTTTGTGCAAACAAGGTTTCATTGGAAGATAAGCCACACATGTGTTCTTGTATATATATATATTGTCAATGCTTACTTTTGCACTACAATGGTAAGTCCACTGATAAAGACTAAACATTTACCATTTGATCCTTTACAGAGAAAATATGCCAGTATTGTTCTATAAAATATACAACAGTCTTTTAGAACTTTATTCATTTAAATATAAGCATTTAAATAACGGAATGAACTATTTTATGTGATAAAGTAGCTGGGAGATACAAAAAATGCCTTTAATAATTACTAAATCAATGACTGTATTACAAAAACAGATCAATCAACTCACCTCCTTTCTATATGGAACAATCAGCACATCATTAACTTTTCCTAGTGGTTCAAATACTTTTCTGATATCTTCTTCAGTACAGCCATCCTCTGGTAATTCAGACACAACAACAACTACAGAGTGGTCTTTGCGGACCTATTATTTGGGGTAGAACACAAAATTTTAAAATACACTAAAGCATTGAGTACAGTAACAATAGTAATAAAAAAATTCACTATCTTTTACCATAAATCAATCCTTTAAAATGTCTTTTCTAAATATTTTGGCACAACTTCCTTAAAATTTTAATAGATGTGAAAAGAAATATGCTTTGATATTTCACCATTCACAACAGTGACACTGAGCTAATAGGTAATTAAACAAGGACACACTTTTTGTTAATAAGCATTTTATGAATATCAAAACCTATGGAATGGTCCAAAATTTTAAAGAATATTTTAATAAATCAATGTGGTTCAAAAAGTAAGAAAGACAAAATCAGCTTGATCTGCCTATATTTTAAAACTGAAAAGACCTAACCAGAGAAAAAAGCCCACACAAAAAACACAATGTAAAAATTAGGCACATTGTAAAAGTTCACGCTGAAAAGCACGCACATTTAAAAATTCTTGTAAAATAGCTAGGGGTTTAAATTAGGGTTAGCATTCAGTTTTAGATTAGTATATTCTTTACAATATTGTGAATAATAGAAATTTTCTATGTGTACATTTTTCTTATGTGCATTTGATGACAATGAATTTTTTCTGTGTGCAATTTTCATGTGGGCTTTTTAAAATCTATGTTTGCATGTTGTTGCTGTTCACTGTCACCAAGTTGTTTCTGACTCATAGTGACCCTGTGCAGAGGTTCTGAGGAATGGCTGACAGGTTTGAATTGCGGAACTTGCAGCAATCCACTGCTTATCCTACACCATTACAACAGAATTTCATTTTTTCACAGTACCCTGGAAATTCTATTGTAGATAGCGTTGTTGCTGTTGTTAAGTGCTATAGAGTCGGTTCTACCTGACAACAACCTGAGGAAAGGTTGCTGAGTTTGAGGTGCCAACCTTGTGATCCACTGCTAATCCTACAGCACAACTTAAATAGGCAATGTTGTTATTAAGCGCTGTCAAGTTGGTTCTGACTCATAGCAACCCTGTACAAGGTTTCTGAGGAGTGGCTATTGAGTTTGAACCACCGATTTTGTGGTTCAAACTGACTTTGCAGTCCAGCATATATTAACCCACAGCGCCACACCATGACTCCTAGATAGTCATTGTTGTTGTGTGCAAGTCGATTCCGACCCATAGCAACACTGTATAGGGTTTCCGAGACTGTAAATCTTTACGGAAGCAGAAAGCCTCATCTTTCTCCAAAGCAGCGGCTGGTAGTTTCAAACTGCTGACTTTGAGGTTAGCAGCCCAACTTATAACAACTACACTACCAGAACTACTTCCAGACGGACATTAATACCATTTAAATAATACATGTTGGCAAGTTTGCATGGGCTAAATGGGACAGAGATAAATAGTGACGACGTATGCTCAACCTTGGAACAACAGGGTTTTGTGATATAGGAATGGAGGCATAGTTTGAATGGGTAAAAGAGGGGAAATGTTAAAATGCTTGACTGTTTTATGAATATTGATTTCCCTTGTCTACTATTGTAAAATTTAGACACTTGAGTGGGATAGAAAGGAATATCGGGAAACATTACAGAAAGCTTGTAAAGACTGTCATCGGCCTGTAACTCACTGGAATACCTAAAAGGGGTTCTAGAACTTGCCCAGTGCAATAAGCTTCTTGCAGAGCCTTTGTAGTGTATAAGACCTTAGGTGGAATCCTGAGCCCCATCCAGAACCTTCTGAGGTGAGAAATTCCCACTCGAAAGGATAAGCAGACCAGCCAGGAGTAGCGAGAGAAACACAACGTACTTCTTTAAAGAAAGACCAGCAGAAAAAATAAAAACGACAGTCTGATTGGCTACTACAAGGGCAAGCAAGTTGTTCACAGGGGAACCATCAAGGGAAGCAACCAAGTCCCTTCAGGACATCCCCCACCCCTCCAAGATTGAAACTCAAAGCGATTACACAAGCAGGCATGCAAGTTTGCTTGTGACCACACTGATCTAATCGTGAGTGGAAGTGGGGGGAAAGCAGCAATGAAGACATGGGCTGAGTTCGACCATGCTCCATAGACCCCATCGATCTACAGATGAGATAGAGAAGAGTAAGGGCTGGTTGGTCCAAAGTATGGTGAGATCTAGAGACTTCTGGGCCCATGGACAAGGACACAGTCATGGAGGGCTAGAGCTGAGAGTAAAGCATTCAGCTGTTATGGAGACGTACAAACTTGCAGATAGTACCCATTTGACCTAGCTTCGATGGTTTGATGGTCACAACTTGACTAGAAGATTTTTAAAATGTGATAAAGGAAATGTGCAAATTGCTACAATTTAATGAACTTGACCTATGCTTACGGATGTAGTAGCTCAAAATACCAACTGAGACGGAAAGACTCTTCATCCTAACCCCTCTGTATGCAGGGCTGATACGGACGAACAACTTAGACACTGGCTATTAAAATGGGGGGGGGTGGGGATTATGAAGGCACAAAGTGACTGGCTTACAAGTTTTCAGAGGGAGTTTAATTAGAGTGTGTGGGGAAAGGTATAATCCCCAGTGAATTGTTTTCATCTTTTCTACACAGATCTGATGAAAGGAGATGGTGATTTAAGATTCTTAGGATTCAACAGTAGTAATTATTATAACTAACTGCGATTGTCACATTGTAAAGGCACAAGTTTTGTAACATAAAGTTGGAGTACTTAATCTTACATTCCAGGACCATCAAGAGAGAAGAACATGAGCAGAATGTGGGACCCTATCCAGAGAAGTAGTGACACCAGAGATGGAGGCAAAGATGAGGATATGGAGAGAGAGAACATTTGAAGACTCTAGACTCATGGAAAGAGAAAGGCTGTGTGCTGGTGGGTAGGAGGCAGACTTAGCCCTTATACTGCTTAAATGATTACATATTCCTGAGCATTTCTGAGTACATGCAAAAAAAGAAAAAACAAAACAAAAACCCACCAAAAAATATAACCCAAAGAGGAAACACAAGCAAATACTATTTGATGATGATACATGAAGGGGACTGTAATCGTTGCAATGAAACAAAATACGATGAGTGAAAAAAACCAATGTTCTCCCATGCAAACTATCACTCAATTCACAATAAATATTTAATTAAAAAAAAAAAAAAGAATGTATCCCCTCCCAAAAAAAACAAAACACAAAACCCTATGGAAAGGAGGAATGGGAAAAACAGGGAGGAAGTGGGATAAATAATGTCACATTGTGGGGATCAAAGTCAATGAGATGAAATAAAATATTAGTTGAATAGAAAACTGATTTGTTCTGAAAACCTTCACTCAATTCACAATAAAAAGTTAAAACACAATTAGCAACTTGTCTAGATGGGTTTGGTTAAAAGAGATGGGGATAAGATTCTTATGATTCAATAATGAATAACTAACTGCTATCATGACTAACTGCAACTGTCACAGTTGAAAATGTAGAAGTTTTGTAACAAAAATGGGGAGATAACAAACAAGATGGTGGATAGAGTGGAAGTGTAGTAAAGAGCTCCGTCAACAACAACAACAACACAGAATACCCCACCAAGCAGGCTCAGGGAATGGTCCCAGAACTCTGAACAACATATAAAAGAATATTTAGAAGGTTGGAAGGCTTACAGCTGGGGGAATTTGTGGCAGAAGCATGAAATCCATTGCTTTCTAGTCCGGGACTCTCAGCTGCTCCAAGAGCCGCCATTTTGGGTGAGACCAAGTGGGGGAAGGATCCGAGTGGCCACAGATGCCTGGCAGAACTGCAGAGATAAAGGCGTGGACATTCTTTTCTTTTGGTAGCTGTTCATTGGTCCCTTGCTGTCTATGCACCTCCATTCTGGTGACTATACGAGTGTCTGAGCTAGTGAGCACCCCAGCCCCACCCTTGGAGGGTTCTATTACTCATGCACACAGATCTCCTTGAAATTTAAAGAGACAGTTTCCAATTAAAACCAAACGGCCACAGCTGGCCCTGAACTGTTTCCAACTAGAAAAAAGGCCTGAACGGGGATTGTGGAGCGGGACAAGCAGACAAAAGAGGAAATAGGCCAAAAATTAAACCCAAAGTTAGGTCAAAACAACCAACATTCTTGAAATTTCTCAAGAAAAAGAGTGAAAAGGGAAACCCATTTCCTGATCACATCTACCTGGAGGCAATCAGAAAGAATAAAAAATACCAAAACAAACACCCATCTAAGTATGAAGGTCACAGATAACTCCTGAACATGCCCCAAAAAACAGAAGCACATGACCATATCAGTACATGTCCAGAAACAAGATATAGTGACTGAGGCAAACGAGTTGGAAGTAAACCTACAATCCACACTGGAAGATGGGCAGGCATTGGAAATGCCTGAGAAGGAATTCAGAAAAATTATTATAAAATGTATCAAAACACTATACAATGGAGTTGAGAAAAATAAGGAAGAAGTCAGGAAAGCGCTACAAGAACAATCAAATAAGATAGAGACAGCACTGGAAACAATTCAAAACCTATAGAAAGAGGTCCAAACAATTAATAATAGAATATCAGAAATAGACAATACATGAAAGGGCAAAGGAATAGAACTGGAGATATAAGCCAGAACTAGTGAGCTAGAAGATAAATCTCTCAACACTACTAAGATAGAAGAACAAACACAAAAAAGGATAAAAAAATCTGAAGAAGGCCTAAGATTCATGTTGGATAACATGAAGAGGAATAACAGTAAGAATTATTGGCATTCCAGATCAGGAACCATCACACAAGCCAACAGAAGAGAGTGGAAGAGCTTCTGGAAGAAAAATTTCCTAACATCATGAAAAGTGAAAAGATAGCATTCAAGAAGTTCAACCAACCCCAGGATGGATAGACCCTAAAAGACAATCACCAAGACATATAATAATCAAGTACTCCAAAATCAGAGATAAAGACAGCATCTTGAAAGCAGCTAGAGAAAAGAGAAATATAACATATAAAGGCAAGCAAATCATATTAAGCTCAGATTTCTCAACAGAAACCACGCAGGCAAGAGGGCAAAAGGGATATATATATAAAACCCTGAAAGAAAAAAAAAACTGCCACCCAAGAATCCTCTACCCAGAAAAGCTGTCAATCAAATATGATGGTGTAATCAAAACATTCCAGGATAGGCAGAAGCTAAGGGATGTTGCCAAAGCCAACCCTGCTATGAAAAACATCCTAAAGGAAGTTCTGTGGACTGAGAACCAACAAGAACACACAACAACTACAGAATGACCTACATGGCAACATCAACCTGAACTCAGTCAACAAATGAAAGAGTCAAGAACAGAATAAAATTATAAGAACAGAGGATCTGGGAGGTCAGTCTATGATCAAAACAATTACAATGTGAAAAAAGGTAAACACAGAAGAACAGAGATCCAGGTGGTGGGAAGGTCAGGTAGATTACTAGATAAAACAGACTGTCTTAAATGGAGGGAAGAACTAATGGAATATAAGGTAACCACAATGGGGTTAGGGTGGCGGGTTTACTTTAGGTGTTGGGGAAGGCAATACAAGTAGGGGGGAGGAGGCAGAAGAACAAGACAGATAGGGGAACACTGAGACTGGTTTGCATGGCCTACTGGGACAGAGGGAAATAGTGATGTATACTAAATCTTGGAACAACAGGGCTCTGGGATACAAGGATCTATCTAGGTATACCTTGAAGAGGGTAAATACTACTAAAATCCTTGACTGCCTTATGAATAGTAGTTTCCCTTGCCTACTATTGTAAAATAGACACTTGAATGGGATAGAAACGAATGTTGGGAAACATGATTAGAGAAAACTTGTAAGCCCGCCTTCAGCCTATAACTGATTAGAATACCTAAAAGGGGTTCTACAACTTGGCCAGTGAAATAGGCCTCATGCAAAGCCTTTACAGAGTATAGGACCTTAGGTGGAATCCTGAGTCCCATCCACAACCCCGTGAGGTGAAATATTCCCACTAGAAAGGACAAGCAGACTGGAACAGCTACAGTGACAGAAGATATATCTTCACGATGAACCTGACCTGTACTCAGAGCAGTAGTTACTCTAAATACCAACAGAGTGAAAGAGTCTTCAAATCAAGTATCAATGCTATCCGCTCTGTGCACAGGGTAGATAGGGACAGGCAACTTAGACACTGACTATCTAAAATGAGGGGGCAATAAAGAAAGGAACGAAGTGACTGGCTTACAAGGTTTCAAGAGGGAGCTTAGTTTAAGAGAGTGGGGAGGAAGAAAGAATCCCCACTGAATAGCTATCATCTTGTCTAGATGGGTCTGGTGAAAGGAGATGGGGATAAGATTCGTAAGATTCAATAGTGAACAACTGTTATCATGATTAATCGTGACTGTCACGATTGTAAATGTAGAAGTTTTATAACAAAAAAAGGGGAGTGGTTAATCTTACAGTCCAGAAACAGAGGACCCTAGCACCATCAAGAGAGGAATGCACAAGCAGAAAGCTGGACCGTATCCAGAGAAGCAGCAGTGCCAGAGATGGAGGCAGAGATGGGAGCATGGAGAAGGGGAGCGGCTGAGGACTCTAGATTCATGTACTAAGAAGGACTAACAGTTGGTGGCCAGGAGCAAACTTGCAGAATGTGGCCTTTGGAGATGTAAATTACTATATATGCCTGAGTCGGTTTTTTTTTGTTTGTGTGTTTTTTTAAAAATCTAAAGCAGAGAGAAATACTGTTAACTAATGGTATATGAAAGGAGCTCTGGTAGCGTAGTGGTTACGAATCGGGCTGCGAACCTTACGGTCAGCGGTTCGAAACTACCAGCCGCTCCGCGGGAGAAAGATGAGGCTTTCTACTCCCGTAAAGATTTACACCCTCGGAAACCCTGCACAGGGTCGCTATGGGTCGGACCCGACTCGATGGCACTTAACAACAACAATGGTATATGAAGGGGATTATAATCAATGTAATGAAACAAGGTGTATGATTTGTTGAATGTGAAACTAATGATGTGCCCTGCAAACTTTCACTCAATCCACAATAAAAACCTTAAATAAAAAAAAAAATTTTTAAAATGGGGGCGCAGTTAATCTTACAGTCCAGAAACAGCGGACCCTAGGACCATCAAGGGAGAAGAGCACAAGAGGAATGCGGGACCTTATCCAGAGATGCAGTGACACCAGAGATGGAGGAAGAGATGGGGGCATGGAGAGAGGGAGCAGCTGAGGACTCTAGTCTTGGGAAGAGAGAGACTAAGATCTGGCAGAGCTAGGAGGCCAACTTGCAGTATGTGGTGTTTAGTAGTTTAAATTATTATATATGTACACATATATATATGCCTGAGTTTAACAAAAAAATAGAGAGAAATACTGTTAACTGACGGTACATGGAGGGGATTATAATCACTGTAATGCTACAAGGTGTATGATTTCTTGAATGTAAAACTGGTGATTTGCCTTATAAACTTTTCACTCAATCCACAATAAAAACCTTTTTTAAAAAAAGGAAGAAAATACCATGACTTAAGTCAGGTACACCTTAGCCCTTAATGTGACATCTTTGCTTAACACTTTAAAGAGGTCTTTTGCAGATTTGCCCAATGAAATAGAGCGGCTGATTTCTAGACTCTATACCACCATCTAATTTTGCTAAAAAATTAAAAACAAATGGCAATAGACTCTTCGTAACTAGCTGGCCCTCCTAAGTCTCATCCTAGGCTTCTCTCCTCTAAGTAGAGGTAGAAAAAAGAAAAGAAATATCTACATGGAATCAAAATGAGTTTTGGTAGTTTAGTGTGTTACAAGTTGGGTTTGCTAACCGCAAGTTCAGCAGTTCAAATCTACCAGCTACTCCAAGTGAGAAAGATGAGGCCTTCTTCTCTTGAAAAGATTTACAGCCTCTGAAACCCTACACAGGGTGGATATGAGTCGGAACTGACGTGGCAGCACTTAACAACAAACCACATACGGGGGTCACTATGAGTTGGAATTGGCTCCACGGCACATAACCACCACCATAATATGGGATCAAAGAAACAATAGCAACTAAAAATTAGCTTGGAATCTTACGGTCCAGTGAGTTTCTGTTAACAGGGAGGAACAACTTAGAAAAGATGAGAATAGTTGTGAAACTGTAAGTACACACTGTCATTAAATTACACAGGTTGTTGTTGTTATGTGCCGTGGAGTCAGTTCCAACTCACAGAGACCCTGTACAGGGTTTCTGAGGCTGTAAATCTTTTCGGGAGCAGAAAGCCTCATCTTTCTCTTGCCGAACAGCTGGTAGTTTCGAACTGCTGATCGAGCAGTTCGCAGCCCGATTCGTAACCACTATGCTACCTGATAATACTGTTAAATTTGTGCATGGTTTTCTATGCATAGTGTCAATAGTAACAAAAATAAAATTGGGGGGGGAAGAGGAGAAGGGCTGCAGGGAGTGGTTTGAAACCAGCCAGAAGTGTCGAAACAAAATAAAACCATCTTTTATGTATCGAGTTTACCACTTTCAAATTTGTTCCAATATTCAAGATTTCTTCTTAATTTTATTCAAAATGCTGTATTACAGGCTCTTTGGGTCAGAGAATAATAGCTGTTGAAAGTCTTTAATGTAGATAATACTGAGAACTATGTATACCTCCTTGGAATATAACCTGTTAAAGAGTTATTCTAACAATTATCTCAAAGTGTTTTAATGTATTATTTACTGGTATTAGGTGCTATCAAGTTGGTTGTTTCATAGCAACCTTATGTACAACAGAATGAAATACTATCTCACCCTATAACACCCTCACAATTTCTGTTGTTTGAGCCCATTGTTTCAGCCACTGTGTCAATCCATTTCATCGAGGGTTTTCCTCTTTCTCACTGACCCTCTACTTCTCCAAGCATGATGCTCTTCTCCAGGGACTGGTCCCTCCTAAAACCATGTCCAAAGCAGGTAGGATTAAGTCTCACTATTTTCCCTTCTAAGGACCTGCTGTAGTAGTAATGTGATTAATATTTAGGTTAAAATATAAAACAGGAGCTCTGGTAGCGTAGTGGTTACGAATCGGGCTGTGAATCTTAAGGTCAGTGGTTCGAAACTACCAGCTGCTCCGCGGGAGAAAGATGAGGCTTTCTACTCCCGTAAAGATTTACACCCTCGGAAACCCTGTACAGGGTCGCTATGGGTCGGAACCGACTCGACGGCACTTAACAACAACAACAACAACCTCTGCACTATAACCAATAGGCTACAATAAAAACAGAGCAACAAATCAGTTCCTAGAAAACTGACTCTTGTATAAATACACGCACTAAAAATATGTTGTTAAGAGCCGGTGAATCAGTTCTGGCTCATAGTGACACTCTGTAGGGTTTCCAAGGAGCAGCTGGTGAGCCTGAACCACCAACCTTGTGGTTCAAACAGACCTTGCAGTATCCAGTGCATTAATCAACAGCACCACACCAGAACTCCTTCTGTAACTACATGCACCGAAAACACAACAGACTGAAAATGAATAACTTTTTCTAGGCTATAACAGACGACAAAGCTCAATGCTGTCAGTGATTGCATTTACAAATCAATCAAAACTCATCATAAGAATCAGGATGTGTGACAAGCTAAAAACAGCAAACAATTAGAATGCTCTCATTTTTGATACATCAAATGCCAAACCTCTTGAATTCTGGAGCTACATGACTTTAAAATTTTTGAACTTTTACTTTATTCCCAAGAAAAACTAGTATTCCATATTAACATAATTTAACTAGTCACCATTTCAAACTTACTGGATATATGGAAATAAAATTCAGTCATTTTTGTTTTCTGTTTATTACAGTAACAAATGTCTGCAAACTTGCACTAATAAATTATAAAATCACTGACCTTTCGCTGGACAGAAACAACTTTATCAGATGCTTGTTTACTTTCTGGTAAGCCACCATCTTCAAGGTTCTTTGACTTATGACGAGTACTTGAATCACTCTTTGTGCAACTTGTAGATTTAACTGATGGTTTTGATCCACTGCTACTTTTAGGCTTTTGTGTTGGTGAGTGTCCTTTATCTTTATCAACGGCTTCAAGATGCTTCTTTTTACTCGTTTCAGATCCATGTCCGGATCGTACTGTATCTTCTGAAGCTTTTTCTTTATCTAGTAAAAATAATAAAAATGAATTTCCAACTGAAAAGAACTTAAAGTACTTTATAATATAATGACAGTAACAACAATCCCTAAAGAATCCTAAATATGTATCACAAAGTCATTTATCACAAGTTATGACAGTAACAACAATCCCTAAAGAATTCTAAATATTTATCACAAAGTCATTCTCAAGTCAAACAGGTAAATAAAATTATTAGTCTTTGTTTACTCAAAAGTTTAATTCATATAGGTTTCCTATAAACTCATATTACCAGGAATATTTTATTGAAATGGCATTTTAAAGTTTAGTAAGATTAGCACTGGCGTACTCCCCATTAACACCCCCCCCACCCCCCAAAAAAAATTACATTAGTACTGGACTTAAAGGAAATACCTGGATTTTCCTATATACTTCTATAGTCAATCTGCTGGGTATATTGTTTTGGCTGAAGTATATAAGGAGTATCATACATATACTTATACATAGATGGAAAAGAGAAGACCTCAGAGACTCTTGAAAAGATCTTGGGGACCCTCTAAAGTTCTTGGACCACACTTTGAGAACTACTACCTTATACATTTGAAAGTAATTATATTTGTACTCCCTCTTTTAGAATGCATTGCTATAATAAAAGATTTGTTTAATATATTTAAACAGACAACAGATCTTCAGTTGTATATTTGTACTTCAATGTATGTTAAGAGCTATTCCTGGAAAATATAATTACTTAAAAATTTTAAATAAATTCAGAGGAAAAATTTCTAGTCTATTATGCTGATCTAGTGTTTATATGTTGTTGTTGTTGTTGTTAAGTGCCATCGAGTCGGGTCCGACCCATAGCGACCCTGTACAGGGTTTCCGAGGGTGTAAATCTTTACGGGAGTAGAAAGCCTCATCTTTCTCCCGCGGAGCGGCTGGTAGTTTCGAACCGCTGACCTTAAGGTTCGCAGCCCGATTCGTAGCCTTTTAAAATTTGATATTGGATGAACAGATACACTCACCCACATTTGTTCTTATACAGTTAAATACAGAGGTAAAATGCGCTAGGTTCAGAGGTAGATCAAATTTTATACAGCAATTTAAAAAATAAACAATGCAGAACAACATTCATATCTTTCAAACCTTTTAAATACCTGTAGAAAATAGCTTATAACGTGAACTTTTGTTATATCTTGGCAGTAGTACTTAAGTCACAATTTCAATCACATTAGAAATACAGCATTAAGAAAATTCAAACCAAAAAAAAAAAAAAAAGAAGAAATAGTTTATTTCATATTTATCAGTATACCTGATGATCTCACGGATCTTCTTGATGACCTTTCAGTGCGACTCAATCGGTAACTTTCTGGGCTAAAAGCAGTTCTGATTCGATATGATGGGTTAGGGGACCTGGATCTGTATCTAGAAATGAAACGATGACAAATTCTTGGACTTCGACTTCTTGGTCTATACATATGACGTACTGGGCTTCGAGATCGACGAAATCTGTGACTTGAACTTGATCTCCTAGAATGCCTAGGACTCGGTGAATGAGAACGTCTTCTTGGAGTTTGAGTCTCTTTCCTAGTGCCATCATTTCTACAAAGCAGGAAAAAAATTAAGACTCAGAAATTTAGTGTAAATTTAAATTATATTACATGATAAAAGTATCTTCTTAGAAACAGATTATTAGCAACACCAAACTCGAAAACCATGTATTTACTTTAAGAAGAAAAAAAAAGTCAGATTTGTTATGTCCAAATTCACAATAATTATAACAGATGGTCAGCATTCCAATTGCTACACTGGAACCCTGTTTTGAGAATTCAGATAGATATCATCATCAATTTCTTGAGATTTTTCTGTAATAGTATTATGTTTTGAAAGTATTAAGAACTCTAATAAACAAGAATTTATTAGGTATCCTACAGGATCATATACAAAAGAAAAAATCATTTTTTCTTTATTCAAAAGGCTATTTCACATGCGGTTTCTATTTTCTATAAATGTAATAAGGTTATTTGAACCTCAAGACATTTACAATCTCAGATTTCAAAAACATAAAATAGCAGTAAAAGTCACCATAAAATTGTTTTCTGAAAAGACTACAGGAAGTAGTAGTTCAAAGAGGGGAGATAACATTTTTGAGATGGAGTGATTACAGAAAGATTCATAAAGTTTTTTTTTGCATTTATGCACTGTTTAAAAATTTTAAAGTTAAATAGTGGGACTCAATACAAAATGATATATATTTTTTTAAAGTACATGTTCAATTGCAAATGAAAATCAAGTTGTAATTGTATCACAATTTTTAAAATTACCTTCTTGATGGGAGGATCTCAGGATTCCAATCAGGATATCTATTTTGAAAATTAACAAAATTAACAAATAGCTAAAGTGAGATTATGAGACTCAATTTTTCTCTCCTATATAAGAGACTGTTCAAATCTAACTTTGCATAGTAATTATTTTTTATTATTTATTGAACATACAAATTAAATAATGAAAGTATTGTAGTAATAGACATTCATACTTAAGGGCCTTTCAGATTTACTAATACATGAATATATACTATACTTTCAATATTTTGAAGCTTAGGAATTTATGAAAAAACCTGTTGAGGGCAAAAGGGAGAAAAAAAGGAAAATAAAACATGGAGCTAGTCACAGACAAGCTGCTGTGTGAGACAGTAGGGATGCTGCTGCTCTGTGCTCAAGTCCTCATTGGTAAAATCAGGAATGATTATTATGCCTACCCCTCATCATAAAGGTGTTTTGAAGATTTCAAGAAATACATAAAGCACTTAGAATAATATCCAACATTAAATGATTACTCTTATCATTTATGGCGTTCTGGTCTGGTGCTGTAGGATAAGTACGGGACTGCTAACTCCAAGTTCAGAAGTTCAAACTACCAGCTGCTCCTCAGAAACCATATGGTGTGGTGGTTATGTACCATGGAGTCGGTTCATGCTCATAGCTACCCTGTATAGGGTTTCCAAGGCTGTAAATCTTCATGGAGCAGAAAGCCCCATCTTTCTCCAAGAAGTGGCTGGTGGATTCAAGCAGCCTAACTTATAACCCACTATGCTACCAGGTTTCCATATACAGGGTAGCTATGAATCGGAACTGACTCTTAACAATAACAACTATAATTTATTATAGTTATTAAAATCTGATGCTCTGGGCCTTTTCAAAAAACCACCAAGTCACATTTATAACAACGAGAAGACAGTAAAGCTTCAAAAAAAGAAATAATCTAAATATATGTCGATAAGTAATTTTGGTGGCAATATGCTGCTAACCACAAAGTCAGTGATTCAAATCCTCCATGTGTGCTACAGGAAGAAAGTTGAGGCTTTACACTAGTAAAATTTACAATCTCGGAAACCCTAAGGAACAGTTCTACTTGGTCCTATAGAGTCGCCTGAGTCAGAATGGGCTTGATTTTAGTTTATATATGGTGTGGTGCTATGGGCTAATGCATCAGTCTGCAATGTCGTCTTCAAGCTCACCAGCCACTCCTTGGAAACCCTATAAAGGGTCACTACGGGTTGGAATTGACTCGACGGCACTTAACAACAACATCAATAGAGGAATGACTAACAGATTAAGGTAAATACACAAACAATGGAAGATTTCATTTTTAAAAGGACATATAACATATTTTGCCATGGAAGGATCCTAAGTACCTATTCAAATCAAGTTTGTTAAATTTTTTTGCAGAGAAGATAAAGTAATGAAGATTATTATTCAAGAGCACACAACTTGAATAAGGTAAGAAAATATAACAGGGCAAAGCATTAACGTAGCAGGCATGGAAAACACAGGCTTTCAAAATGAGGGTCCTATGTACATGAAAAATATAACAAACATATGTACTCATAAGGCTTTAATAGGAATATAATGCTGTTTGCCTTAATATATAATGGCAGTGCATGCAGCTAGGCTCCTCTTTGTTAAGTACTGCTGAGTCAAGTTTCAACTCATAGCAACCCAATGTGATACTGAAAGTGCCAAAAAGGGTTTTCTAGGCTGTAATTTTTACAAGACCAGATTGTCAGGCCTTTTCTCCCACAGAGCCGCTGTTCTAATTAGTAAAACATCTTGATTGCATGTTTGATTAATTTCAGACTGAAGAAGTTGATAGAACTTTTCAATTTTTTCATGTACTGGCTTCAGTGATTGATCTTCCTTGTAGGTGTACAGCTATTAATCTGTCAGATAGCATTATGCTTTAAGATAGATCTTGAAATGTTCTTATTGACAATGAATGCGACATAATTCCTCTTCAATTTGTCATTCTCAGAATAGTAAATCATAACTGTCCAATTCAAACCAGTCCATTTCAGCTCACTAATGCTTAAGACATCGACCTTTATGCGTTCCTCTTCAGTTTTGATGTCTTCCAATTTTCCTGGATTTGTAACTTCATATATTCCATGTTCTGATTATTAATGGATGTTGTACAACTGTTTCTTCTCATTTTGAATCATGCATCATCAGCAAATGAAGGTCCTGAAGGCTTTACTCCATCTGCATCATCAGTCAACTCTACTTTGAGGAGGCAGTTGTATTTTAAGTTCCTTCCAACCTGAGGTGTTCATCTTCCAGCAATGTATTAGACCATGTTTTGTTGCTATTCTTAAGTTTGGTTTTCAGCAAGTCATCTTTCAGAAGACTATGCTTTCTTCTTAGTTTGTCTTAGTCTGGAAGCTCTGATGAAACTTGTTCATCATGGGTGACCCTGGTAGTATTTGAAATACTGGTGGCATAACTCCCAGCATGAAATCAACTTAAAAGTCACCACAGAATGACAAACTGACAGATGAATGGTGAGTACAACAGCTGGATGGGTTCAAACCACAGCTGAGTATTTAATCTTTATGTTCCTAACATATAAATAACTCAATCCCACCTAAACTCCTCAAATTTTATAAAAATTAGACTTCCCACTGGGTGCTGGTAGGAAGATTTATAGCCTAGAAGAGATTCTCCATTTAAAGTGGCAGAAGGCAATCCAATTCAGAAAAATTATCTCTGTATGGATGCAAACCTATGTTTGCTTGCAGAGTCTTAACACCAATCTTTATTCTTATTCTACGTGGATTTTGGCGGCATTCATTCATGACACAAACTGAGGTATAGTATCATATTCCTATATAACCACTATAACTGGTTTAAAGGTAAGACAATTAACCCAAGGTAGACCAAAAAAAAGCCAAACCAAGGACTTCTGCAGGTATTGGGGGAAAGAAGAGTTTTTTGTTTGTTTTTTAATTCCTGGGAGTACCATACAGAGATCACTTAAGTCAACAATTGGGGCCATTTTTTTCATGTGAAGAAAAAGCTTGACATTTCACGAAGTTAATACAGAAGAGGACATATAAGATATGGAAATACTTCTGACACTAATTATTGAGTACCCAAATTCAGCTATCCTGAAACTAGAACGTGTTTAAATTCCTTAAACTTCCCCAGCAAAATTAAATTCATTTTTACTTTTTCAAAATTGTTTTAATTGGATGTGTTACTGGATAGTAAACTGAAAAATAACAACAAAGAAACTTGTGATGTTTTCATAAACACAATTAAAAAACCCACAACATTTGTGTCATAAATTTATTTGCCTTGTAACATGTTATTATCTTTCTGGTAATCTTATTTCATTCTCCCCCTTTGAAAAACGATTAGATGTACTTTCTATGCTATCTATTATTTTAAATAAGAAACAGTTTTCTCCCAAGTATCAAAGTAAAAGTAACAATCCTATCTAAACATTAACTATCTTGCAAATGTGCTACATATAAAAAATGGGTGAAAATGTTCTTACTGTTGACGTAATTGTCGGCAGCTCTCAATATGAGTTGATGTATTTTGGTGCTGAATCCAATCCTATTGTAAAAGGAGAAAGTACTGAAATCAGAATATTTTTCAAGGTGACTACTGAATTAGGCTTCTGAAAATTATGTAACAAATCATGATTTTTCAAAAATTAAACAAATCTAGTAGCTCGTATTTGACTCAATAGAATTTTCACCAACAAAATGTAAAGTGTACAAACAAATGCACTTAATGCCATATCTCCCTGATTCTGTTTTAAAGTACTTAGGTATAAAAAACATTTTAAAAAATCATACCAATAAATACTCATTTTGAAATCAAATATGCAGGGGGCTTAAAAAAGTTCGTAAACAACTATAATAAAAAGATAATGAAATTTTTCCACTCATGTTTTAAAGCCCCCTCATACACCTAAATCTGGAAGAAAATAAAAGCATGGATCAGAAAATAACTCATATCAAACATTACATCAGTATTTCAGAGAATACTAAAAATTATATAGCTAAAATGGCATCTGTGAAATGCTAGCTTCAAAAAAATACACGGCGTCTCAGTGGCTTACACCTTTAGAGTTTAAGCTAAAAATAACAACAAAAATGCCCTAACTCTTCAGCCAAGAACATTTCCAATACTGTACTGGAAAACGTTAGTGAAAATAGGAATAACTCTTGCTGATCAAATCTAATTTATTTTTAAGATTTAATGGAAAGCAACACCATTTCAAACAAAGGCTCTTACATATAGAACTTTACAATTAAAATAGTTTCTTACACACTACTTCATTAACAAATAAGTCTGCCTTAAAATTACAGTCCATACCCATAAGTCGTTTCTGGAAAATACATCTGATTTTGGGGAAAAGCCAGTATAGGCAGTCCCTGGAGTTATGAACCTCCAACTTATGACTCCTTACGAACCAACATAATAAGCCTATATTACATTAAAAATTTGAGGTACATACAATGGTTCGTAGTAACAAATAGGCGCAACTTTGAGACGCACTTCAAAACTTAATTATTACTGTGCTGTGAAAGATATTTTTGTATTTCTGAAGTGTTTCTCTAATGTTTTTTATGCATAGAAAGCTGTATTATATACTAAACATGTGAATAACTGACATTAGATATAAACTGTACCTAACTGTTTCAACTTGCATATTAATTCAACTGAAAGACAGGCTTTCAAACAGAACTAGTTTGTAAATCTGGGACTGCCTGTACAGTTTTCAAAATCCCAAAAGTGAAACAATTAGGAGAAACAATGTATACATTACTCAATGTATTTTTGATCTTTTGGAGTTTGAATAGGCAGGAACGTCATTATATATTCCTGTATTTTAAAACTTTTAAGAAAAACTATCATTTCCATTTTAAAAATTTGAGTTTATATCATTGAAGATGAATGAGCAGTTTACACAGTTGAAACTATACTTAACACTAATTTAGGATTTTACCTTAGCAAAAATTATCTGAAAATAGGTGATTACTTGTACTATATAGCAACAAGTTATAGTCTGCAGTAAATTATGTACACACCCCAAATTATTCCATTAAGCCAGGAAACTAATTGTGGGCTAAAAAAAGAAAAGAAAAAAAAAGTACTGTTGGCATATCCTGCTCAGTGATACAAATAGGAAGCCAGAAAGGATTGGCAGTTAAGATCCCCTATAGTGTTAAACCCATCATGCTTGTTATTAAATGGATATTGTTTACATCAAACAGACACACTGGCAGGTAATGAGTTGGGCGTGATTTATTTGGATCATAAAATGTTTTAATTATCAACACTCAGAAATGCAGAGACTTTATCCTAATATCCAGACTTTCAGCTTTTCTTTAAAAAAAAAAAAAGGAAGACATAATACTGAATACATATAATATACATAGCATCTATCTACTGAAACTGGTAGCTGCCTTATTTTAGGCACACTGTCATTCCAGTTCAACACAAAAATGCATATTCACTTTCTACTGTCTTAAAAGTACCACCACTTCACTCAGGGACATTACTTAACTCAGTAACTATATTTATGCCATTCCAATTTCTAGACCCTCTCTCTAGTAATAGCATTCAGATAAGGACCCCAAAATAGCACTGCTTATTCAGAGAAAAATTGCTAACTACATAATAAGCAGGAGTTGCTACAAGAGCTGTAGACTTGAGTGGGCCCAGAATGAAACACTGAAAATACCTGCCACCACATCAGATACAACTACCTCAAAAATCTTTTATGTCACTCAGTATTTTCGCGAACTGAATTGCTGCTATCAGATAAATAAGATACTTCTATACTTCTAAAGCAAGGACAGGTTGTATGAGCATTTATTTCTTCCTCAAGTAAAGTTTACATCCTGTTCAAAAAAATTTATTTCACTTTTTATTGCTGTCTTCTAAAGACTGGAAGGTGGGGGACAGATTTGTGAGATGTTACTCAGGAAAAAATTTAATGACTATGTATATGTTGTTTTTGTTGTTATGTGCCATGGAGTTGTTATGTGCCATGGAGTCGGTTCCAACACATACTGACCCTGGCACAAGGTTTCCGAGGCTGTAAATCTTTACAGGAGCAGAAAGTTTCATCTTTCTCCCGTGGTTCGCAGCCTGATTCGTAACCACTACGCTACCAGAGCTCCTTTGACTATGTATATACTATGTCATATACAGGTACTCTTAACAGACAGCAAAGACATAGAAATAAAGTGGTTTAACATCAAAGTCCATGTTCATAAATCTCGATATGGCTATCAGATAGTGATGAATTCACTACTTTAATCACTCATTTGGTTGTGACATTCAGACTATTGAAAGTGTTCTGTTTTTTTTTTTTTGTTTTTTTTTTAAAACACACTCTATGAACTTTAAAGGAAGCCTGGTGGCATAACAGTTAAGTACTCGGACACTAACCCAAAGGCTAGCTATTCCAACCAATCCAGTTCTGCAAAAGATAGACCTGGCAATCTGTTTCCATAAAGATTACAGCCAACAAAACTTTACAGGGTAGTTCTATTGTCACATGGGGTCGTTAATAAGAGAAATCAACTCCACTACACCCAACAAGGAGTTCTACTGATTACTATTTTTTTTTACTGTTACCATATTCATGAATTGTTGCCCTAGTAACTGAATAACTAGTAGTTGTTGTTAAGTGCCTTCTAATCAGTTATGACTCCCAGTAACCCTGCATAGGGTTTTTGAGGAACAGCTGGTGTGTTTCAACCTCCAACCTTGTAGTTAGCAGCCCAGAGAAACCTTTTAATTATGCATCCTACCCTCTCTCTCTCTCTCTCTTCTCATTTTCTATTTACCCTTCACATTTCTGCCAAATTTATCTCCCTAAAATTCATTTTGTAACATGTCAGGAACCTTGATTAGCTTCCTAATGCCTCTTACCTCAAGTCTAAACTATCAAGCTAGTTTTTCAATATCTTTTACTTATTTCTAATATGTACTCCATTCTACTCCAATTACCTACCACTACAATGCAATACAGTCATTTCTTAAAAGTCTCTGCTTCTCTGTACACGGCTGCTCCTATTTAGAGTATCAACCCTTTCCCCCTGGGCCCATCTAAAGCCTACTCATCATTCAAAACCCATCTTCAAGTCCAGAAAGACTTAGCCACTGTCAACTTAATTATAATCTCATCTGCCTAAAGGAGCTCTGGTAGCGTAGTGGTTCCGAATCGGGCTGCTATTCTCAGGGTCAGCAGTTCTAAACTACCAGCTGTTCTGTAGGAGAAAGATGAGGCTTTCTGCCCCCGTAAAGATTTATAGCCTCAGAAACCCTGTGCAGGGTCACTATGAGTCAGAACCAACTCCACGGCACATAACAACAACAATCTATCTACCCAAACTATAAAAGCCCTTTGTTGCCAGGAAGCATAATTCTACACTTTTTAATTATTAAACTCCTAAATATATGATAAAGGAGCTCTGTTATAGTGGTTACGAATTGGGCTGCTAACCTCAACGTTGGCAGTTCGAAACGACCAGCTGCTCCGCGGGAGAGGCTTTCTGCTCCCGTAAAGATTTGCAGCCTCGGAAACCCTGTACAGGGTCACTATGAGTCGGAACCAACTCCACAGTACTTAACAACAACAATAAATATATGATGTGTCAATAAATTAATAATGCTTCCTAAACTGCTAAAGTTTGAAGTCAAGATAATCCTTCCACTATACTACCAGCATACTGACACAAAGAGAATAAATAAAATCACTAAATCGGCTTTTGCCTTCTAATACTTTTGACCTCTTCATGTGTTTCATTTTCTACCTTCAGTAAGAATATGTAAGTTGCTTAAGGAAAAGAACTAAATATTATAGTGTCTTCACTTCTGTACAGCATTTAACATAAACTGAAACAATTACCATAAAGTCGATTCTGACTCATAGCAACCCTATGTTGTTGTTAAATGCCACTGAGTCTGTTCTGACTCATAGCAACCCTGTAATAAGGTTTTCTGAGGAGTGGGTGGTAAGCTTGAACCCCTGACCTTGCAGTTCAAACCGACTTTGCAGTCTAGTGTATTAACCCGCAGCACCACACCAGGACTCCAGCAACCCTATAGTGGTGGTGGTGATGTGCCGTAGAGTAGGAACCAACTCACAGTGACCATGTACAGGGTTTTCCAAGGCTGTAAATCTTTACAGAAGCAGACCAACACATCTTTCTCCTGAGGAGCAGTGGAGGGATTTGAATTGCCATCTTTCTGGTTAGTGCTTAATAAACTACAGCACCACAAGGGCTCCTAGCATCTAATGCTGTTGTTGCTAAGTGCCATAAAGTCAGTTTTAACTCACAGTGAACCTGTAAAGGGTTTCTGAAGAGCAGCTGGTAGGTTTGAACCTCCAAACTTGGGTTTAACAACACAGTGCTTACCCTACAGCACCACACAGCCATGTAAACCACTGGTAACCATTAAATATTCGCTGAATAAATGTTTATCTTTTCTATGCTTTAAGAATAAAAAAGAAAACTTCGAATTCCTTATTCTGGGATTCACCATAATTAATTAAAAGTTCAAAATAAATGGATAAATTATGAGTTGTTCCAAAACACAAGAATACAAAGATCCTAATCATAATACTTAACTCAGTACACAGACCAATAACATAGTGACTACAAATCGGGCTGCAAACCTTAAGGTTAGCAGTTCGAAACTACCAGCTGTTCCGTGGGAGAAAGATGAGGTTTTCTGCTCCCGTAAAGATTTACAGCCTCGGAAACCCTGTACAGGGCCGTTATGAGTCGGAGCCGACTCCATGGCATATAACCACCACCAACACTTACAAGTTACAAGTTACAATTAAGTGCCCTGAATTATTCTGAGATTTTTTTAAGGTGAAGACTTCAATATTCTTTTAAATGGAAGAAAATAAGTATTACTTTCTTGTAACTTAGCAAATCTGGATAAAATGAGAATTATTGCTGCAAGAATTAATGAAAAAGCAGCAAGGCTACTTTACTTTAAGACATCCTATTAGCTGAAACCCATAAAGACAATAACCAGAGTATACAACCAATGCTACGGCACTGAATCACAGCATTTCCTTTCGGAAGTACATTCTCACCTCCTTTTATAATCTAATGTCAGGAAGCATAACTTAGAGTATAACTCACTGCCATGGAGTTGATTCTGACTTATAGCAACTCTAAAACAGGACAGAGAATTTCTTGGGATTTCAAGACAATTCTTTGCAGGAGCAGACAGCCTTGTCTTTCTCCCACAGAGTGGCTGGTGGGTGAGAACTGCCAACCTTGTGGTTAGTAGCCCAATGCTTAGCTCAAAGCCCCACCAGTATTCCTGGTCCTGGTGCTTTACTATAAACAACTACAACATTGGCTTCCAAGTAAATAAAATTTACTTGGACATTCCTACTCCACTATAACAAGCGCTGCTATCAAAAAGTATATTCTATATTTATACCACTAACTTACTCTTCAGCAGGTGCCTAAAGTTTGTTTTTAAAAGAGCTTTCTCTCAAAATTTGACAACTTTAGTCCTGTTTACATTTGGTCCTTTAAATAGCTCAATCACTGACTGATTTTTCTATGGATTAGGATATCTTAGGAAGCTCCTTCTCTCAAGAAACTAAAACTCACTACACCTCTGTATCAAGTCAGAAAACATTTAAAACAGTAACTATCTTTAAACCAAGATGGGTAAATACATGCAAGGCTACTGGCTCTTAAAATGTGCAGTACAAATGTGTTCTTTCAACATTTTATATTTTCACACTAACCGAGAAGCATGTAATACTCATACTTAGATAAAGGTGATTCAGGTAAACATTGTCATAAATACACAGCTTATGTTATGTAAGTTATTTTCTGGGAATTTGTGTGAAATGCCCATTAACAGGAATTCAGAAAACCTAACATTCAATTCAGTACTTAGGCCAGGGCTACTAAAAGATTACAGCTAAGTATCGATGTTGAAATAAAAATTAATTTCCATGATGCTTAGTAAACACCAGTATACAAATCAAATTTAGAGGGAATTTAGGCGCTGGGTATCATTGTACATGGATCTTTAAAAACACTCACCTTCAAATGACTACATTCTACGTTACACAGAGAACACAAATGTGGAAATATTCTTGGAGATGCTGCATAATAATCATTCATCATAGAAGGAGTTGGCAATCTCTTCATCTTCTGGGCATCAGAAAACTTTGGTAGCCATGATGCTTTCACAATCCCAAAAGGAGACTGAATAGGAGCATCAGCCTCTGACTGATAATTCTTTTTATTTCCTCCTGATCCAACATTAGATGAGTTCATTGCAGGTTCATGGGAGATCCGCTCTTGTTGGCTCACAGTTGAAATTAATTCAGAAGAAAAAGTTTGCTGGTTCATAGATGGAGTAATCAGAGACTGACTTGCTGTCTGGCTAGTTGTCTGGCTAATGGCTTGGTTCGCAGATTTTACAGGTTCAAGGACTGACTGTCCTCCTGAAATATGTAAGCCTGACATCTTGCTTCCACTCTCAACTGGGAAATAAGATTGATTATTGGAAGATTCACTGGGGAAGTCCATCTGTCTGAACACATCTTCAACTGGAAACATAGAATTGCATATCACATTTGATGAGGAAGGAGACGCAGAAATGCTCTGCTGTGACTGAAATTCATTCTTGACCTCATCAGTTGGAATTTCAGGGTCATAAATACGAACTTCAAGAGGATCTTCTGTGTAGCCATATTTACTTGCATGCCCATAATCAATCACATTTCTTGAAACTGCCTCATTACCAAGGGTTTCTTTATTCCTGCTCTGAGAAGATAAATTAGGTAATCGGCGCCCCATTTTTCGCATTCTTATATCCCTCAAAATTAATGGCATATTTTCAGGAGTTAGCTGTTCATCAGGATAGCGACTAAGTTCTTCTAAGTCTTCATTAGATAATCCAAAACTTGCTAAAATACTTGATGCACTCTCTTTTGTATAGCGACTCTGTACTTTAGGACTCTGCTCCGTAACCTGTGCTATAGAACTCTGTTTCACTCCTACTGATGCAGCCATCTGAGCCTCATCATCCCATCGGCTAACATGAGGCTTCCCCTTCTTTTGTTGTGCTTCATGAAAATCCAATTTTTCTTTAGTCAATCTTGGATCAGTTCGGTGTTGAGTTACCTGAACGTTCATTCTCTGTGGTCCAACATTCTGGTAAGATTCATGTCCAGGAAATCTGTGTGGAATCCCACGGGCTCTTCCTGCCGAGTAAAATCTTGGGAGACCCATAGATCCAGGTCTCATAAATGGTCCTGGAGGCCTCATTACAGAAGGGTTAGGTGCTCGTGGCCTCTGAAGTGGAAAGTTTCCTCGAGGATTAAACCTGGGTCTCGACATGGCTATTTTCAAGAAAGCCTGATTTAATAAAGCATAAGGTGGTGTTGAACCATGTGAGGCAACGGCATTCAGCTGCTGAAGCGCCAACTGAGTCTTAATCTGAGCAAAGTGCAAAGGAGATGGGCCCAACAGAAGTGGGTTTGCAATGCCCAGGTTCAAGGAATTCACAAGTGGTGCGAAATTTTCCAAGAATAACACAAAGCTGAAAGTTAAAACACAAATATTAGATCATTTTAACACAAACTACTTCATGAGGTGGGTTCTACAGGCAGTATCAAACATACTGAAATAAGTCATGAAAACCATCTTGTTTTTCATACATGTTAGAATTAGGGATTATGAGGATTTAAACTCCCCCCACCCCCACCTTTTTCTTCTTTTCTTTCCTGAATCCAGACCACAAACATAAAAAGCTAGAGTTCATGTATGCTGTAGTTGCCCTGGTGCTGTCCAAGGTGCTGAGCATGTTAAATAACTTTTGTACAATAGGGATTTCATAATTTAATATTGATATAAACGATGAAAACAATAAAATACTTAGAAATGAATACACATTTAATATGTGTTATCATCATCCCCGCATACAATGAAAAGAACGGCAAACCTACAATTTTGAAAGACTCATTTCCCAAGGGCATATACCTTTCCTTAGGCTTAACCTTTATAGCTAGTAGATTTCACATAGCAATTACATTATGCTTATGTTTATTAGTTGTCAATAGCTACACAACTTGAAAAAGCAATATACAACAGCACAGAATTGGTTTTAACATACAATACAGTAAAATATAACAAACCAGTCACCTTATTCTTGGATTGCTCAATAGTAACAGAACAGACAAATATATAGAGAGAGTAACAATAACTAAACTTATTATTGTCCAAATGGCTAACTTTATAAAGTGTTGCCTCTGTGCTGAGTACTATTCTAAGCACTTTACGTGGATGGATTCGTTTAATTCTCACCACCCCGAGATATGGTCAGTTTTATAAAGGATGACACTAGGCACAAAGAGGTTAAGAAAATTTTCTAAAGTTATAGTTAATAAGCGGCTGCATCAAGATTTGCATTCAAGGTAATATGGCCCCTAAAGCCATGCTTTTAACCACTAACAGATGTAAACAAGAGTATCTTGCAGTTCCCAAACACTTAAAAGTTCCTTATAGTCTATCAATGCACAGCACTACTCACTTCAGCTTACACCCCCACCAGAAAAATAGTCCTTCCTTCTTGTTTTTTTAAGTGCTGTTGAGTCGATTCCGATTCACAGCAACCCTGTACTGGATTTCTGAGGAGCAGCTGGTGACCCTGAACTGCCAACTCTGTGGTACACAGTCTAGTGCTAATCCTACAGCGCCAGGTCAGGAGTCCTCTTGCCTTCATGCTCCCAGTTTAAAAAATAAATAAATAATGGTACACATTATGCTTATACTTCTATCAAGAAGTTCTGGTGGCACAGGGTCTCTATAGGTCACTAGTGGAATTGAATCAACACAATGGGTTTGGGTTTTACTTCCTATCAGATCCCTACTTCTTAACACCTGATAGAAATGCAGGGTAGGAAATGAGAGGTCTTCAGATATCTATGCCTGCTATGGAAAACCCACACTGTGAGTATTATTTGATGATCGTGGTTCAAACTACAATTTGCTTATAAACAAAAACTAAACCCACTACCGTTGAGTCAATTTCAACTCATGGGGACCCTTGTAGGACAGAGTAGAACCAATCTGTATGATTATCAGGATTATATAAATCTTTGCATAAGTAGACTGCCATCTTTCTTCCATGGAGCGAATGGTAGGCTTGAACCACTGATTTGGCTTAAGTACCCCTGAGTGCTTAACCTATGTGCCACAAGGGCTTCAATTTAATCAATAACTACTAAATACAGTGAAACCTGTGACAGCCAAAACTCAATGGGATTGCCTTGTTTTCCTGGGTCTTGCAAGTTGTCCATATTTAACTTTCCTGACCATTTTTTTACAGCTCATCTTAATGGAAAACATTTCTGTTTTCCTTCTCTGACAGGTTACTGTTTTTACAAGTCTTACAGTACTTTCATCTTTACTTATACATAATATAAATGTAAAATGTTTCCGAGGAACAGCTGGTGAGTTTGAATCACCAACCTTGTGGTTCACAGTCCAGTGCTTATCCTACAGCATCACACCAGGAGTTCCCATTTTTAAGTGCCGTTGAGTTGGTTCGACTCACAGCAACCCCACGTAGGGTTTTCAAGGAGCAGCTGGTGAGTCTGAACCGCATACCTTGACTCCTGGAGTTCCCATTAGAGGTATACAATGTCTATTGGTTTATCAAAGGCTCTAAAAGGCCTAACTGTTGTCATAACCTATCGTTTCCAAACCAGAATTTTCCTCTATGTGTATCTCTAGATACTGGTAAAGCACAATAATCAATCTATGTAATAAGTCACTGAGTTCTCAGTGCTGAAAAGACACTTATTATGTGCCGTCAAGTCAGCTCCGACTCATAGCAACCCTGTAAAGGGTTTCCGAGGAGCTGTTGGTGGTGAACAGTACAGCGCTGATCCTACAGCGCCACGACTCCAGAAAGACACTAGCCTCTCACAAAACAGTCTGGAATACACATAAAGAGAATTAAAAGGCTTTTTACCTGCAATAGTTAAAAAATGTTAACTACAAATTAGCAGAAATTTGGTTTGTTTAGATTTTTAAGAACCTTAACAACAACAAAACCACACTAAATAGTTAACCTTGTCATTCATCTAATATAGTGAAGAGAGGTGGTGGCTGAGTGCTGCTGAGTCAGTCTGACTCACAGTGACCCTGTATAGGGATTCTGAGAGTGCTGGTTGAGTTTGAACTACCAACCTTATGGTTATCAGTGAGAAGAGAGTAGTTAATTTTAACAGCCCTAGCTCTTCCAAAGAGATCTTTCTCCCTCTGTCTTTAGTAGGTAAGTTAGAGACTTAATAGGGCAGTTATTGAACATTTTGACCAGCAAACTAAAAATATGAAAGTTTCTCTTTTTAACATTCATATCCCAGGAAACCTATTCTGAATAGCATGTATCTCAGAGGTCTCTTCCACCAACTTCCTCATCTTTCTGAGAACAAGTTTCTTCTTTCATCCTTCTGAACTTTAAGCTAACACTTATCCCAAGACTTCTTCCTAATTCCATAGGTTACTGCACAATTTCTAGTATAGAAGTTTCTGGCATAGTGGCTTATCAGAATACCACCATTATAAGAAAAATAAAATAAATTAAATGTTATCTACTCCTGCACTATATAGTCTATATGTAGTCCATCCCTATGATGGGTTGCAGATCAAACTGCTGTGATCCAGAGGGTTTTCAATGGCTGAATTCCAGAAATAGATCACCCGATTTTTTTTTCTCTCCTAAGTCTGGAAGCACCACTGAGCCCTATTTAGCATCAAAGCAACACATAAGCCTCCAATGACAGATGAATGGGTGGTGGCTATGCATGACATGCATTGGTTGAAAATTGAACCCAGCTGACCAGCATGGAGGGTCAGAGAAAAAGAGGAAGACCCCCGCCACATGGACTGGCAAAATGGCAACATCAATGGGGTCAAGCATGGTAACAACTGGGAGGTTTGCCCAGGACCGGACAGTGTTTCATTCTGTTGTGCACAGGATCGGTACCAACTCAATGGCACCTAACAACACCACCACCAGCATGGAAGCCAAGAATGATGTCATTGAACCCATACTTATCCATTTAACACATACTTAGTGACAACACTATTCTAAGTGGGAAGTACTATGATTATTAAGACAGAATAGATCATTTCCTTCATAGAGTGAAAATTTCAGTCTTAAAGAAGAAATTATTGGCACTTAACAACAACAAAACAAAAAAATTAGAAAAAAATCATAAAATGTACTTAGAAAAGTCCCTGGAAGCTTCCCTTTACAAGACCCTGAAATTAACAGAATATGTATAAAGACTGCAAATGGGTTGAATAAACTATGGTACATCCATATTTTGAAGCTGTAAAAAGGAATGAGGAAAATATTAATATGTAACTCAGGTAGGATATATCCTAAAGACAATAAGGAGAAAAAACAAACTGATTTCAGTAATCATTATAACACGCGTGGGTGTTGCTACTGAGATTGTAATGGATGAGTTAAAGGTCGAAGCAGTCACATAATCATACTGTTCGAATTTCCTTACAGGAATTAAGTAACCATCCAGTTCTACTGTTTTTAAGAGATGCTTCATTTTTTAGAATTGCACACTGAAATACTTTTATGATAAAATGACATGCCCATACCCAAAGCCCAAAGTCCACTACCATCAACTTGATTTAGACTGTACTCAGCAACCCAACAAGACAGAGCAGAACTACTCCTACAGTTTGTGAGACTGAATAGTTTTCCTCATGTCCAGATGGGTCGGGTCTGGTGATGAGGGGGATAGGACCTTAGGACTCAACTGCAAGTAATTGTTTTTCAGGTCTAATAGCGATTGTCACAACTGTAAATGTAGAAGAGGTACAACTGAGTGGGGGGGGGGGGGAATCACATCTTATCCCAGGGTGGCCCTTGCTGGGGCTGGTTTCAGGAGAAAGGTTCCTCATGAGGTTTTTAAATTTCAGGGAAACCAGGTGCAGTTGGAGAGTTCTGGAATCCCTTTGCCAACAGGCCTAGAATACATGGCCCTCATCAAAGGCCTGTAGACTGTAGAATTGCTTTGTCCGATTCCCTGTGGAATGCAGGGTCTGCCTGCCCCTTCCTCGGCAAAAGCCAAAAGAAACAGAGAAAATTCTTCAGCTGCTTCCTTCTTCAAATCAACCAGAATTTTCGTGGAGAAAAGAGGAGAGGAGGGTGT